TACATACATACATACATACATACATACATACATACATACATACATACATACAGGTGAAACTAATATAAGCGTGTTAAAAAAAGATCAATGTACTGACAAACGAAATAAACCGAGGTGATATTATTGAACACACTAGAAATCATATTTATGATGTTTTAAAGGAAGTACTTCAATATCAGCATATAAAATCCTTTTCAAGTTCACGCCAAAGAAATTTGGATAATAACATGAAAAAAGATTTGTACCAAACTTTGATGAATGAAAGCTTCAGTACATCTGATGTGTTTGATTCCGAAATTATTAGAAATGATCAACACTATGACTTACACATGAGCATAGATAATATTAGACAATGTATGCTGAATGAATGTAATAATTGAATTAAATGTAAAAAAAAAATCATTTTAGTAAGTTTACTTTCCATGGAATTATTTAATTTTTTTATGTTATATGTGTAATATGTTATATATTTCAATCAAAAATATATCTTGAGTTTATAAAAATAAAAATTTTAAAATCCTTAGTGGTTTTTGCTTCATGTTCATTTTTAGCTTCGATGCGAAGTTGAGAAGGTATTGGTTTTACTAAGATGTGTTTAATTTTTTTTTTTTGTCTGTTACCACTTTTTTTCTAAATATTTATTGAAAAGTGAGTATTTTCGTTTTCTTTATTAAGTTTGATTCCTTTATCTTGTAGGCCCGCACAACAATATTATGAACAAAAAAAATTATATAGAAAATGGTTCTGCTTTACCTATTTAAAATTATTGTTAAACATGACTTTAAAAGTCCAAATCAAAGATATAACTTTACGAAATGATTACAAAATTTAAATAACTACCATCATGATACAATAAGTAAAATTAAGGCCATTTTAATTACATATATGAGGAAAATAACCCGCAATTGCACAAATACCTAAATTGTATTTAAAATATTGACAGTATAGAAAAACTAAGGACATATTTCGAATCAGCGTCGAAAAACCTATCAGAAAAGGTGAAAAATAATTAATCACTATTCCATTACCCAAATTTGTGAAGTTGTATTATTATTAACATATGTATTAAACATCACAATTATATGAATAAAGCAAAAATCATCTTACCACTTTTCCCTTTTAGAGGTTTAAAATAACCCTTTCATTACTAAATATATCAAATCAGTCAGTCTCTTACAACTGGGTCAATCCATATGAAATCATTCAGAGTTACGCGACCATTTTAAATTTTTTTGAAATTTCACACACGAGTTGCCTAGTGTTTAAATAGAAAATATGTCCAACTATAATAATAATATTAACATTATTCAGTAGTATAACTCAATTTTGTTTTGAAGTTTTTTATTTTGACCTTTTTCAAGAAACCCAAGTATAAAAAAGGATATGAGGACGGCATGTGCGTAGGTAATGTGGGACATTGTGTCAGGTGAAAATTTAGAATAAGTTACTTTGCTAATCTCAAGTAGTTAGGATTAAGGTGAGAAAAAAGAAGATCTAAAATCAATATTCACAGTTTAAGGTATTTATTAAAAAATTTAATCGACAAAATATTTATGACCTGTCAAAATTTTTATATTACAAAAAAATGGGTATTTCGTAAAATTATCCCTGAAACCTGTGTATTTATACTGACGACTAAAATGTCGTCTAACATGTCCAGTAATTAACAATTGGAAATATTTATTTTTAAGTAATTTTATAAAAATGTTTTTGTAAAAAAATTACATTTTCATAATTAAAATTAACGAAGAAATGCAATTTTTTTCATCAAATTTTTTTTACATCATATTAACATTATTCAGTATTATTACTTAATTGTGTTTTGAAGTTTTTTATTTTGACCTTTTTCAAGAAACACAAGTATAAAAAAGTTCAAATTTTTAAAGTAACGATTTTTAAACAACTTTAACTTAGTTTTTCTCTAGTGGGACAGAAAATTAAATCATAAAAATTTTATTGTAAATTATGTAAAATTTTATTATGATATTGTTACACATGTTGACTTTCTATGGTAAAAATTTCAATATTGGTATTTTACCGAAACCAACATAAAATTATCTTTGAAAATTCCCTTTTTTTAAATTTATTATCTTGAAAATCATTCAATAACACCCTTACATCTCTTATTTTTTTAGTCTTCATTCTTCATTCAACATTTACATTATACTACGTAGAATTAATTATGAATTATTTCATCGAGGTCGTAGTAAGAGAATTTAAAGACAATAAGGTATTAAAATAATTTATCACGTAATATCATTCGATTGGTGGTACGTTGAATTGTAAGAATATGGTTTCATGCGTGTTAAGTAACTCCGAGTAGCAGCTGAATTAACACAATCTTGCTCCGGGCACTTGTTCTTCGAGTGACGCAGGCAAAAGTACAAACGCTTCGTTTCAATGGTGTGTAACTTGGGTAAAACTGGCAGCAGCAAGATCGTCAGATCCAAGTAGATGTCACTTTGTTGTCTTCATCTGAGATCTTATACACTAATATACTCGTCACTATCATAATATGGGATAAAAGTGTGCTACTCTGTTAGTGTCCGGAATACTGGTCTTTTTATTTTCGTTAAGATAATCAACACTCCCATTATACATTATATTCATATTCTTAGAATAATAACATGATTCTTTTCAACCATTTTTTAAAAATGTAATAAATAACTTATTTAGGTTAATCTTAGGACAAAGAAAAATTATCTGATAACATTTCAAATTAATAATAGTTAATACTTATATTATTTTATGACCCTTGAATCACACCACGAATGAAAGTATCTCTCACTTTTATCAATCACCTTTTTTTCTTATATTAATCTTTTATGATTTAATCATGTAAACAAGTGTTTGACACTTTTTTAAGTCTTCTAATTTTGTAAAGTTTTGAGTTACGATACATAAGACAAATTGCAATTAAGAAGAAATAGTTTGAACACCGCAATAAGACTTGCAAACGCCTAAATGTCTATGTTTCAATTACAAAATAAAATAATTTTACTTTGTAATTTATGAATTTTTTAACGCTATTTTGTGTGCACTATTACCAGTCTATAATACTCTTATATTTATAATAGATCAGGTATTATTTTTCAAAAATGAATAGACTAGTTTAATTTTGAAATAATTTGTGTACTTATGCCAATTACCAATGACCAATATGTAAATAATTAAAAATTAATTATCTATCGGTAGGTTATAAGACGTAAAAAAAAATACAATATACAAAAATATTAAAAATTACTGCCAAATTAAAAAGTAACGTATATTAAGTTGGCAAATAACATATGGTGAACACAATATACACGTCAACAAACAAATTAAAAGTATTATAAGTAACATCTAAGAATTGTGAATTCTATATCTAATAGAAGTCGATAAATACATCAATATATTTTTATTGTTCGCATCATTTTTATTATTCATTTATAATTCATATATTTGTGATAAAAAGTTTTAATTTTAATAAATAGATAATTAATCAACAAGATGATTTTGAACTTATTTATTAAATTTATTATTATTGTGGTCACAATCGTTTCATGTAGAGCTTCTTTTAAATCTAATGAAAAAAGTTCTGACGATCCGTCTGAAATAACAAAAACTCGGTCTTGGAAATACGTTCATAATGAAATCGTAATTCTGCCAACAGGTAAAAGTATAAGTTTAGCAGAATTGATAAATAGCATCAATGAACATAATTATAAAATAAATGGTGATGATGAAAATGTATACAATTATAAATACATTAAAGACAATTTGTTTCGTACTGCTTTAGTTACAAGAGTATTAAAGTATATTTGCTTAATGTCTGAGTATGCATTAAGATTGAAGAATTTAGGAGACTCAAAACATGCATCAGAATTAGGGTTCACATTTGATATTGCAAAAACATCTATTGATCACTTTGTCAAAGAATATTCTTGGGAGAATAGGACGGACTTAGAAAGAAAGATAATTGATCTGATTAGTACATTAAATTTAAAAAAAGATGTAGTCGAGTTATCTATAAAACATTTTTATGATATTTTAGTGAAACTACTTAAATATCAGCATGAAAAATCCTGTTTTTGCTTACGGTCAAGAAGTATTGGTATTGACATGAAAATAGATATATTCGAAACAATGAAGAATACAATATTTAGTGTATATGATGCTTTAGATTCAAATATTAAAGACAAGGTGAAGCTACTCAAACATATGAATGATTTAAATAAATTTTTCAATGGAGAATGTTATAATAAATAATAGAAGCTAAATATTTTTCAATTTATTTTTTAAAAATGTTCCGAAAATACTGACACTTTTTTACATACCTTTAAAGCTTATATAATATACTTAAATATAAAAAAAAATTCGAACTTTAAGTTGTCTTCTTAATGATAATTGCTATCGTAAAAAATATGCTACTTTTGGAGTAAAATTCTCGGTTTTGAATTTATAAAAGAGAAAAAAATATTCAAGTCGTTCGATTTTTATCTCATTAAGATTCAATAACTTTAATTAATATAAAATGCTGATGTTGGAGGTTATAACTCTTAGAAGAACAAAAAGTTTCTGACTTGAATTTGACTGTACACCTTCATCTTTGACACTATTGTTATCCATAGATAAAAAAAAACTAGGTTTTCTTATCTTTTAAATTTTGAGCAGAAAATTTACTTTAGTAAATTCCAATTCCATGGAATTATTTAATTTTTTTTTTTTTATTATATGTAAAATATGTTATATGTTTCATTCGTAATATATCTTAAGTTAATTAAAACGAAAATAATAAAATCTTTAATGGTTTTTGCTACTATATTCATTTTTTATATATTATTGAATAAACCTGTAGAAAAAGTAATGACAATTGAGATTATCAATCTAATTACAGATTTCATTCGAAAATTTACTATTCTCTTTTAATATGTAAAAAAAAATTAGTACAAAATGTCATATTTATTTTTTTGGTCATTTAAAATTGTAATTAATTCCAGCTGTATTATAAAAGATATTCCCTGTGCCTTAATTTATACTAATAATAGTTCAATAATAACACAAACGTCATTATTAAACAAATGATATAAATACAAATAATCAAACAAATGATACGTACAAAACAAAAATACACTCTAAGTACACTACATCAATACACAAAATATAAGACTTTTTGTTATGAACGTACATTACGGAAAAAGATTAACTGCCATGCTCCTGAGGTACTCTCCTCTTTAAAATTCAATTCCTTTCGTCTTATATACTAAAATATTTTCATTTTTCTTTTAATGAAACAAAGTTAATAATACAACCATTTTATAAAACATTTATAAATATTCACTACCAGGTCAAGTAATAATAAATTAGAAAATTAGAATTAAACTAAATATTACAAAAATATTTTACTTCCAGCTTTAAAGTAAACATACTATATTACAATAGATAAAAACCCAGCACAGTGGTGACGTGGCATAGTTGGATCAAGTATAATGATATCTGACAGTGATTAAAATCACTATCAAAGTAAACATTTCGATGCAAATCTTTAGATAGTGTTTAATTTAAAAAAAATGGCGGATTATTACAAAAGCTACATGATCTGCTATTTTAATTTATAATAATAAATAAATAAAATTTTAAGCTGAAAAAGTAAATTTTTTGTGAAAAAGTTGTCATTTTAAATTCCTCTCTGTGGGCAGGTTAAGTGTCAGATTTACAAAAAAAATATTCCAAATGATAGATAAGGACATCAAGCATCTATAAAAATTTTTTTTATTGATATGTTTATTTTTGAAAAAGTTACGGCAGTTTTTAGTAAAAAAAATTGAAAAAATTTCGAAAATTAGCGATTTTTAAATTTGTAATTTTTTTTGAGGTTTCCTCCATTTACGGGGAACGAGGGAATTTTTTTCAATTTTTAAGGGTAATGTCTTCGACTAGATACAATTTGTGATCTATTGACGTATCGTTGAAAGAAATCCACTCGGTGAGAGCTGAGAAAATGTGGTAACAGACGCACAAAAAAAAAACACATAGTAAAACCAATACCTTCTCAGCTTCGCATCTAAGCTAAAAATATTATTTTGATTTGTTATTATTTGAAAAAGTTATGGCAGTTTTAAGTACAAAAAACATCTCCATAGAAAGTGATTTTTATCGCAAACATTACATTTTTTTTTAATTTCGACAGCTATTTGCACATAGAAGATAAGGTGTCGGGACAAATTTTTTTTTCAGATGCGGAATTTTTTTTTTCAAAATTTGATCGGGTCACCCCCGGAATTTGTTCAAAACTATAAAAAAACAATTTGTGTCAAATTTCACTAATTTTGGTCAACCCTAAGCCGTGCCTCAAGAGGGTTGAAAATTTAATCATGAGGGTAGTTTTTCAATAATTGTAGTTTATCTCAAAATTTATGATTTTTACATAAAAGTTTATAAGAAAAAAATTGTAGATATGAATATTTTACATAAAAAATTATTACTAAAAAAGTCATAAGTCAAATATCTACCTCGCAAAAGTTAAAAGTTCAACCAAATATATGTTTTATAGTAAAATTCTGAAATTTTCACAATTTTAATATATACGATGAAGCGTTTGCGTTATAAAAAAAATGCTTGAGTAAAAGTTGATTGAAATTTAATATTTCATATTTTTTGTAAAAAAAAAACAGTTATGAATTTTTTAATTTATAAGTAAAAGTTAAACTTAAACTTAAATAATAAGTTTCGTTCTAAAATAATTGTAAAAAGACAACGAATCTTTTTAATCTTTTAAATAATTATAAATAATGCAATATAAAATTTACACACTATAAATGATTACAATATTTTACAATATCCAAATTCATGTATAAATTATAGAAATATAAATAAAAAATGAATAAATAATAAAAATAATTTATCTCATTAGTGTAACTTTTTTACTGTTAGGGAATTGCTTTTGATATCGTGTTACAACTTGTAATATGTACTGTTTTTGTCCCTCGTTTTTAGATCCTATCTTATTAAAATCCTCCATTAATTTTACCGCACGCTCTGGAGTATCATTCACTACTTTTAAATTATTGATAATTGCTTGACCTTTGCAATAACTTGAATTTTCTTCCCATATAGATGGGTCTGTTTCCATAAAACTATAATCAATATTAAATCGATAAAAAAAATTTTAAGTTTTATTTGTCACAAAATCTTCTATTTTTTTATTTTTTATAAAGTTTGATATTTCATTGAAGTTCAAATATATGCGTTTATTTTTTATGACATAATATTCTTCCCCATCGAAATTTTCAGTATCAATTCTTTTAATGTTAAATGCCATTTTAGTTTTTGTCTCGTGTGGAATATGTTTATCGAAAAATGCTAAAGCAATGTTGTCTGAAGTTAAATACCATAAATGGTTAACAACTTTTTCCAAATTATTTTTAGCTAATTCTTTATCTATGGTTTTGTATTGGAAAATATTTTTTAAAAATTCTAAATCTTGTCGAGGCGAAAAAGCAGCAATTGGTGCATTAAATCAAACTTTGATGTATAAATTAACCAAGCAAATGCATATACTCGAGATGGAATTATATTCTTTTTGTGTCAACTTGAATTCTTCACGAAAAATAAATATTTTAAGAGTATAAAGCGCTATTGACATCCATCGAGCATGGTGAATCGCTCCTGGAGCTCTAAATAATACACCTCTTGGCGGAACTCCATTTAAAAAAATTACTGTTAGCTCAAGAAGTTCTCTATAATCTTCTCAAAAGTGGGATAGTTTTAATTGATTTAAACAAAACTCTAAAATATGATCAATAGAACTTTGCAATTTTTCAAAAATAAATCGATCGTCGATACCGGACTTGTAATCTTCAGTATTAATTTTTGGCCAAGACTTTTGAAAACGAAGAAATAAGGGGACATTCGGTCCTGAAGTTATACCAAATTTTGTGTCAAATGTACATTTTAAAATAATCTCGTAAATATGATGATGACACGGAAAGTATAAAATGTTTTTTTCTAACCATTGTTCTAACAAAACACACGTACCTCCAATCCTGCCTAAACGATAATTAATATTACTATTTATATTTTCAATTAAATTTTGAAGGATACAAAATTATAAATAACAGTTAATATAGTTTTAAGTAAAAGTAACAACACGAAAAACGGTGATTTTTTACACAAAAATAATAATTTTCGTTTAATTTCGACTGAATAAAATAGATAATAATAAACAATTGTTTTATTTACCTGTGTTAGTGGCTGTAGTATTAAAACACATTGATTTTACGTGGTTTGTTAAACCCCAATCGACCGACGTTTGATATACACCACTCACTGACAACTTAAATAACTTTTGATCCAGTTAATATTTTTAGCTGATTTTTTTTTAAAATATTAGTTAGACGTTAGGTCTATAGCTATATCTCAATAATTAATTTTTTTACATTTTATTAAAAATATTAATTATTTTTAAATTTTAAATAAAAAGTAAAAAAAAAATCTAAGATAGCTATTTTGTAGAGTAGAATTTAAGAAAAATTTTAGTAAAAAAATATCTTATTAATATTCAGTAGTAAATATTCTGTAGCGTTTTGAAGTTTGTGAAAATTTGAATTTTCATGTATTATTTTACGGTATTAAACATTGAAATACGTATTGAGAAAAGGACAGAAGAAAACGCTATCTTTTCATGATTACTGTGTATACATATGATGATAATGTGTATACATTACAAACTTGGCATTAATACCATGATAAGAAATTAGATAAGGCAATTATTACTTATCACTCTCATTCAAAAGTATATTGAAAAGATAGCGTTTTCTTCTGTCCTTTTCTCAATACGTATTTCAATGTTTAATACCGTAAAATAATACATGAAAATTCAAATTTTTACAAACTTCAAAACGCTACAGAATATTTACTACTGAATATTAATAAGATATTTTTTTACTAAAATTTTTCTTAAATTCTACTCTACAAAATAGCTATCTTAGATTTTTTTTTTACATTTTATTTAAAATTAAAAAATAATTAATTATTGAGATATAGCTATACACCTAACGTCTAACTATTATTTAAAAAAAAATCAACTAAAAATATTAACTGGATCAAAAGTTATTTAAGTTGTCAGTGAGTGGTGGGCCACCCTGTATATCCTCAGCCTGTGATTTAGAAGTTTCGTTTAACATCTTCGATACTGCTAATAGTTGGTCATTTCCATTATTTGAAATAATTATAGGTAGTCTATCAACTATTTGTTTACTACATAAACCAGGTAATAATTCGCCGTCCCAATGTAAAACTAAGGCATTGAGATTAGTCACAGAAAATTTGTCGCGAATTTCTGTAGCTAAATTCCAACGTATTTTTCCACGATGTCGTTTAATTGATGACCTATTAACTATGATATCATTGACGTCATGCCCTAATGATTCAGCCACTGCAATTATAATGTGTACTGCGTCTCGGTCGCTTATTTTGCACCTATCTAATGCTGAAGATAACTTTACAGTCATTATGTCTATTGTACCTCTTTGTTTTATGAAGCTTGATATTGGCAAAACATTAGTTTTATTAGACGGACCCGGTGAACAATTAATATCTTCTAAATTTAATATTTGATACTTAGTTTTTTTAACATTGCCATCAAACAAATTACTGAAGTCATCATTGTTTACGACTATAAAGCAATATAGATTAATGAATATAAGGATGTATAAATCGTTGTAGATAATTTATAGATCGTAATATTTTAATCTAACTCACAATCATCAGGCAAACTTTCTCCTGTGTCGTCGCTTGTAGAACAGGATTCCACAGTTTTAGCTAAAATTTAAATAAAAATTGCATATGACTAAACAATACAATACTATTCATTGTTTATTTATAACTCAAAATACTTACTAGTTAATTTGAATTCATCTTCATTAAGTTTTCTTTTTTTCTTAAATTCTTTTAATTTTTTAAATTGCTTAAATTCTTTCTTTTGGTAAGTTAAATCAACGCCAATAAGTGATACTGGACGACCTTTTTGTTTTTGACTTATTAAAAACTGCTTGTCTATATCAATAGTCATCATGTCTAATGCATCTGCATAAGCAATATCAAATAGCTCATCAAAACATTGTACAAATTTATTTTCTTTATCTATCTGAGTATCTGTACGCCGACTTGAATTTTTTTGCAAATTACGCCATGTATTGTACAATTCCTCTAATTTTGGTAAACAATTACGAACTTCTTTAGTAATTATTCGAGCTTTTTGCCAGAATATCAATTTTTCATCGATCACTAAACGCGCACTATCATGAATACTAAAATCAACTTCTCGAATATTAAAAATAATACCGATAAAACTTGTTTATTTGATGGTAATTTACATCCAACGAGTTTATTTGAACTATTACTTATTAAATAAATACACTTTCGTAAATTTCTTTTAGTCTCCATTAAATAAAAAAGTAATAATAATACTCNTATATATATATATTTAATTTTTTATTACTTTTTAGATTTCTTTTCTACATTAATTATGATGTAGTATAATATATTTTAGCAAAATGTTATTTTATCGCTATTTATTTAAATAATTACAAATTTTAAATAAGTACAAAAATATATTAAAAAATTTAATTGAATTACATAATTGAAAAAGAACAATTAAAAATATTTATAACACAAAAAATCTTTAAATAAAAAAAAATATATGCATCGTGTAATCAATGAACGTCCAATGACAAAAATATTCATTAGATCTTAAATAAAAAGAAATTCAAAAAAACAATTTTTATGATTAGAACAACATAAAAAATATAATAGAAAAAATAATGTACAAAATGAATGATAGAAACGAAACTATTCATTAAATTGAAATTTCTTGAACAAAAGTTCACAAAAATTATTACCAACTTGAAAGTTGTTTATAACACAAGACTGTTGATTTTTCAACAATTATAAGTCATCCACAGAGTATAGTTCAATAAAAATTTGTTTAAATTAAATCTATTGGTCATGATTTATCAAAATTAAATGTTTAGGTGAGTTCATCAATTGAATCTAGATCTTTTTGATCGTTTTTTCTTAGAAACTTTCTTTGTAGAGCTATTCGTAGATAACTTTTTATTTTTTTTAGGATTATCAGTTTGTGTATCAAAATTATTTATGCCATCAACATTGTTAGATAGTTCTATATTATTTACTAATTTTTCTAGTTCCATTGTATTAAATGTTTTATTAAACACATAGGAGTCTATAATTTCTTGCGGAATTCTTTTGAGCAACACAAAAGGATCTATAAATACCAAAATTATAAATTAATTTTTTGATAACAATTTTATACAAAATAAATCATTTTTATATTAAAAAGTAATTATATTATTATAAAATGACGAAATTTTTTTTATTAACACCATTGGAACTTTAAAAAAGAATATATAAAAATAAATATTACTATGATAATTTCATAAGAAATGTTATTTTCAAAACAAAAATGAAAAATGTTTAAAGTAACGTGATTTTGCTATTCGCTTAATAGACTTAGTGTAGAGGGGTTTCCGAGGAACTCCTTTAGGGTTTCTCGTCATAAACACAACTAGGAAACAAGAAGGTGCTAAGCCACTCAATTGACAAAATTACCCTCAACATTTTTTTAATTTACGTATGTTTTGATATGACTTATAACTTATAGTACAACAATAATTTTGTTGAAATTTTATTTTCTTCAAAATTTTAAAATAGCCATTATTCAGCCAATATTATCTTACAAAAAAAATTTGTGGGTCAATGATAATTTTAGGACAAGTACATATTTAGTTACTATTTCAACAAAATTATTATTTGATCAAAAATAATAAAATATGTCTAACCTAGTTTGACATCCTGTATAATTGTTTGGGGTAAGATGAAAATACAATTAGCACCCTCCAAAATGTTAGTTAAATGTTAGATTATTTTATGGTTTAAGTGTTATATGTATAATTAAGTGACATAATTAGACTAAATTTAATTATTAAAAACTAAAGCTCTATGAAATATACTTCATTAATTTATTACTTGAAACATTAAAACAAAATACACTAATACAAAATTTTTAAATATATTATTTATATATTTTTAATGATAGTATAAAATGAATGATTGATTAGCTGTTACTATCAAACTGTTATTAACTATTATTAAACTATTATAAACTATTATATATAATCTAACAGTGGAATTTGATTTTTTTTATAAGAAAAACAAAGGCGTCATTTGAGTGGAGACAACTAGGCTTTTTCCCCAGTCTAAATTTTCAATACATATTGAGGCCGTATAGTGTTTTAAATTGCAATATTAGCAAGACACAAAATTTCAAGAATGTGATGCAGCTGACATACTTTACCCACTCATTCTATGCACATGTGTATATTATTATAAAAAAAATGACACTTACTCATATGATTGACTTTGTCGGATGGTATTTCCACATTAATTGGATTTGATTTGTTTTCAGTAGATATCACGACGTTTGACACGTCAGGAGTTTTATTCTTACGATTTGAATTAAGAGTATAAGAATTATTTACTTTGTCTTCATATTTATTTGTTAGTCTAAGTTTTTTACGTGAATCGTTAACATCGTCGAGATGAGCTCTCTTCTTTGATTGAAAAGTCTTGGAAGTTTCAGGCTTTTGAATCCTTGAATCTTCGTCTTCTTCAAATGTTAAAAGATCTTTATACAATTTTATAATTTTACGTTTACTTGGACGTTTGCCAACATAATGAGGATTTAAACGTATGTTGATGTCGATAACAGGAGTTCTATTCTTTTTTCGATACATCTTGTGGGTTTCAGAATTGTTAATTCTTACATTTTCTTGTTCACCAGAATTATTTACTATTTCGTCTGCATTAGTTTTTTTACTAGACATATAGTAGTCTATAATGTCTTGTGAAATTTNGTTTTTTTACTGGACATATAATAGTCTATAACGTCTTGTGGAATTCTTTCGATCAATACAATCGGATCTATTGATTCAAAAATTATAAATATTTTATGTAAAATATATAAATTGTATATTAAAATATATTAATATAAAATAAATTAATCTTACTCATATGTTTGACAGCTTCGGATGGTATTTCCACATTAATTGAATTTGATTTGTTTTTAGTAGATATCTTAGCGTTTGACTTATTGCTAGTTTGATTGCTACGTTTCAAAATTAACGCATCAGAATTTTTTACTTGTGTTTTATTGACAGTTANTTTCAAAATTAACGCATCAAAATTTTTTACTTGTCTTTTATTGACAGTTGTTTGTTTTTTAGTAATTTTCTTAACATGGCCAACATTAAGTGTCTTTTTTGATTGAAACGTCTTGGAAGTTTCAGGCTTTTGAATCGTTGTATCCTCGTCTTCATAAAATGTTAAAAGATCTTTATAAAATTTTATAATTTTACGTTTACTTGGACGTTTGCCAATATAATGAGGATTTGAACGTATGTTGACGAGAATGGAATTTGATTTTCTATGTCCAGTTTTAAGATGGCTTATAGTCTTTTTGGTTTTGTTTTTCATGTTTCACTTTTCGTGCAGAGATATAAATTAAATATCTGACTACAAAAACTCAAATATTAAAGAGGTTTTGGGCAACTTTTGTGGGGTTTTCGGGCTTAAGAAAATTTCCGTGTCACACCTAAATCGCCCGTGACTGTTAAAAAATATTAACTTAAACAATATAAATTTGTAGTCATGGAAACAAGAAGAAAAATTTATATAAAAACAAATAAATTGGAATAGACAATCGCTTTTGCATTATGTAAAACGAAAAATACATTGGCCATTAAAACTTTTAGCCAGAAAAATTAAAATTAAAATTATATTTATTGTTGTAAAAGTTTGTAAAATTTCCATTTTTTTATATAAATTTTTTTTATTGTTGCATATTATATTTTTATAATTGTATTTGAGATATTGAAATACAAAAATGTGATAGTGATTGTAATCACTGTCAAATATTATCTATACTGGACCCAGTAATTCTAAACTATGCCACGTCTTCACTATGTCGCGACCCTACTGTGCTGTTTTTTTTAGTCTTCTTTCAATATTTTTATTATATTACGTATAAATAATTATGAATTATTTCATGGGGGTCGTAGTAAGAGAGTTTAAAAATAATAAGGTTGTAAGCTCAACTAATATCAACCAGCCTCACTTTACAAGGACTCCGATGAGGGTCCACCCTGGGCTAAGGCAAAGCCGGAGCACTAGGGATTTTGGTTACTTATCCTAGGTGGAAAGGTTATAAAATAAAACAGTTTTAATTAATTTTGTGATAAACATAATGAAATATAATAATAAAATATAAAACCAATAGAGTTTAGATTTAAATCAATTAATTTATATAAACAAAATAATATAATAAAATTTACAATTTACATGGAACAAAATGCATCTATTAAGTTTTATTCTAGACTATGATACTATAAATATTTCCACAATAAAGTAATCGAAAACAGGAATTTTTGTAAGCGAACAATATGGGCAGTGTTTCTTCTAATTTTCTTTAAATTTCAAAAAAAAAACCCAAATTTCATTTCTGTGTACGCTACTGCTAAGAAGGTATTAATTTTATTATGATTTGCTCTTTTTTGAAACATTTAATTTATAATCAACAACAAATTATTATTTTCTGAAAAGTTTTGTATTAAGCCCTTGAATTTTTATACACGTTTGACATAAAAATAATAACTACTTTATAATTTTTATAAATTCTCCGAAAAAATTACAATACTACGTTATTAAATATCAATCTCATGTTATATTTAATTGCTATATTAAATATGTTTTCATATATTATAATTACAAATCAAAAACTATTAATCAGAAGTAATGAAGGAAATAAGAATTTATTTTTCTTTTACGTTAAAAATGATATTTTGCACTGATTATTTTTAACATGTTAAAAATCAAAAACTATGATAATTTTAAAGCATTTTTGTTGAAATTAAAATTAAAATTTAGTTCACTAATTTATTTTACTGTTTAGTAGAACATTTATAATTTATGCTGATGGAGTATTACAAGAAGTTACTGAAATAAAAATCAATGATGAAGAACATGTTCAGAGGAAAATAATTTTGTTGAAGAAAGTGTTCAGAATAAAGTGATAAAGCTGAGAAAACCCAATCAATAGAAGAAATCCAAGAAACATATAAAATGAAACTGTGGTATAGACAAAATTAAGAAAACCACTCAGGTACAGAGTAGAAATATATTATTCGGGACCTGATGATTCAATAACGTATGAAGATGCTATGCCAATAGAAAGGTTGAAAAGTTGTAGAAAAGCAGTGGACGAATTATAGTCGTCATTATAACATAATTATACTTGGAGATTAATTAATTTAGCAGAGAACAAAAAAGCAATTATTAACTGTTGGAATTACTGTACAAAGTACAGCTTTGTAAACTGGTGAAATTGACAGGTATAAAGCTAGACTTATTGTAAAAGATTGTGCACAATTTGACGGGATAGACTTTTAAGGGATATTTAGCCCAGTTGTTAAGTATGATTCAGTACGACTTATATTAGCAATCACGACAACAAAACAATTAAAGCTTAGACAGTTTGGCATAAAAAATGTTTTTTTGTACGGAGATCTAGAAGAAGAAATATGATGTTTCAACCCAAAGAATATAAACAGAAAAAGTAAAGTCTGTCAACTTCAGTGAAATCTTTATGGTTTAAAACAGGTGCCAAGATTTTGGAACAAAAAGTTTAAAACTATGATGAGAGGTAACGACTTGGGCTACCCAACGGATTGTGGAGTCGCCACCCTCATGGCTCCCTTGAAATAAACAAAGTCGTGTCTCGAGGTGAAGGTCTCGATCATAAAAAAAAAACAACACCCGGACCATAAGTGGATTTGAAAAAAAATAAACAAGATTAAACCAAATAATATACACTATGATGAAATAAAGCGTATCATCGAATAAAATTTATATATACTAAAATATAAAGTGTTGTTGCAGACTATAATATGCTGATACCTTGTAGATAAAACAAAATATATTTTATTTAATTTCACCAGTGGTGAACAAACATGAGTATGTTGAAGACTATCACCTTAAAGTTAGAGAAAATTATTAAAGATAAAAAAATAAGATACACGTGAATATTGATAATAAAAAGATTTTTGTTGAATATTAAGGGAACTTTATTGAATTATGAACATTAAGTTAGTAGTGGACAAAACCCGAAGACAAAAACCACTCTGAAAATGAAGGGACAAGAAAGAAATTATTATTAAGAAACAATTATTAAGACAAGAAAAAAAAGTTAACCTACAGCTATTAGACAGTACACGCGAAGTGTCTTCCCTACCGGAACAAGTCCTTATACTCCAGGCACAGCAGATGATTTTTGTAATCTGGCCGGCCGGACCATAGTTGGGCACTGCGAAAATAAGATATAAGTATTAAGTATACATGACACACCACTGACTAATAACCTTGTAAATAGCAATTCTAGCACATATTAAATAATGAGAAAAAAATATATATATAATATAAGCAAATAAATTTTAAAAGAAAAAGGCTCAAACATTGATGAATAACAAAAAAAATGTACGATACCCAGTCCCGGATGGGATTCATCCTACGATAGGAAATTGCCGACGCCTTGTAAAAGTTAATACATCGTTATTTATAAAAGCTATCACACATAAAAAAAAATTGGCTGTACACACACAGCAAAGTACTACTTCGGTGATTTATATGGAAGAGAGACAACCTTTTTACACACCGACGATGACAATCACGTTTGGGAGAGGTTATCAGTTTAACAATTTACAGAATATAAAAAAGATACAATTATGTGAAAATATTAAAATTATTCAGGTATTGATAGTGGTGGCCAGTGTATGTATCATATAGGAAATGATTATTAAATTGATAAAGAATATTGTGTGTATAGCGTTCACCTTACAGCAACAGTACAGTTTTTTGATTAGACGGACGGATATAACGTACGCACGCCCATTAGCAAAGCAAAACATTAAATTTATCTATACCATCAGAAATTAATAGATATAAAGGTTCACATTTTGTCACGTTACAATGTTATTAAACTTTGATTTACAAGAATCAAAAGCTGATTCAAGTGTATTTGTAAGTTGTAAAAATAACGATTTAATTTAATTGTGGGTATTTTTGTAGACGCTGGTTGGCAGCAACTAGTGGCAGCAACAAGTAACGACTTAGTCAACAAATTGATGGCATATTTAAAGGATAATTCCGAGACGAAAGAAAGTAAGCTAGACCAATTCCTTGGTATTGAGATCAATCTTAGACCAGACGGGTCGATTTTTATACACCAATATCTTATTGTAAGCGAGTATTACAGAAATTCAACATGGAGTTGGCAAATCCAACATTAGTAGCTGCAGACATTCAACATTCGCTAGATCCTAGTTTGTCAGATTCACGACAAGCAGAGGGAGTGTCATATTGTAAGCAATTGGCAGTTTGTTATATTTGAGTCAAGTAACAAGACCTGATATTACATATGCAGTTATTGTTGTCAATCGATATCTCGAGAAACCACAGAATATACATTGAAAAGCTGTTAAACGTATATTTAAGTACTTAATAGGTACCGTTGATTATGGTCTATTTTAAAGTTCTAGTGCTATACTTAAACTTGTAGGATATAAAGATGCTGATTACGCTGGAGATACATTCACGAGAAAATCGACGTCTGGTGTTATACTTATGATGAGCTTTGGAATAATTGCTTAAGGTTCGCAAAGACACAAATCAGTAACACTGTCAACGACTAAGTCAGAGTATTAGCTCATAGTCAGGCAGTACAAGAACTTTCATGGTTGTCGCTATTAATAAGTTGTCTCCTGGAAACACAGGAAAGTACTCCTATTATGTATGTGAATAACCAAAGTGCAATAAGATAAGTAAAACACCCTGAGTTCCATAAGTAGACAAAACGCATAGATCTAAAGTATCATTACATATGTGATATATAAACTAAAGTTTTGCTTCTGTTAGAGTATGTATTTGCTTCTGATGAAAGTTTCTTGTAATTCAGTAACTAATATGTAAATAATTTAAATATTATTTGTCTGTTTGTAAGTTCTAAGACGTATACATGTACAATTTACAAAAATATTAAAAATTACTGCCAAATTAAAAATTGATGTATATTAAGTTGGAAAATAACATATGGTGAACACAATATACACGTCAACAAATTAAAAATATTAGAAGTATCATTTAACAATTTGGAATTTTATATCTAATATAAGTCGAAGTAACCTCAATATATTTTTAATGATCGCATACTTTTTATTATTCATATTTATGATAAATAGTTTGAATTTTAACAAATAGATAATTAATCAACAAGATGGTTTTGAACTTATTTATTAATTTTGTTATTATTATAGTCACAGTCGTTTCATGTCAAGCTGCTTTTAATTCTAATAAACAAAGTTCCGACGATCCATCGGAAATAACAAAAATTCGGTCTTGGAAATTCGTTCATAATGAAATCGTAATTCTGCCAACAGGTAAAAGAATAAGTTTGGAAGAATTGATAAAAAGCATCAATGAACAAGATTATAAAATAAATGGTGATGATGAAAATGTGTACAATTATAAATACATTAAAGACAATTTTTTTCGTACGGCCTTAGCTACAAGATTATTAAAGTATATTTGCTTAATCTCTGAGTATGCATTTAGATTAAATATGTTAAAAGGATCAAATTTCGATGATTTTAAATGCACACTACGTACAACATTAAATCGAGCAAAAAAATATATTGAATATTTTCGTGAGGAATATTTTTGGGAGAATGAGACAGACCTTGAAAAAAAGATCAATAATCTGGCAAACGTAAGTAAACGAAATGATATTATTGTACACAGTTTGAATTATATTTATGATATTTTAAGGAAAGAACTTAAATATAAAAATTCTTTTTTATATTTATGGCCAAAAAATATGCATATTAACATTAAAAAAGATTTATACAATACATTGAAGAATAAAAAAGTTAATATATATGATGTTTTTGATTTAACAATTAATGACCAGTGGAAGCTATACGAGAAAATGCAACGTATAAGAAAATTAATGTATGACGAATGTTATGATTAATTTAATGTAAGAAAACTTATTTTATTAAATTACCATTTCATGGAATTATTTTATTTTTATTTTTTTGTTATATGTGTCATATATTTTACTGGAAAATATATTAGTTGAAGATATTATCCCTCAAAAGCTAAAAAAATAAATCCCCTTTATCAAATCAAAAGTTGCTTAACCAGATTTTAACTATAATTCTGTGTGCTTCTGCCAGTCTATAATCCAAATTTTTTGGTAACATTCTGTAAAAATATGATTTTTAATTTCACATTAATTAAATAATAGATTTTTACTTTTGTAATCAAATTTTATAATAATCAACTTTAAAGAATCAAAAAAAAAGGTTAGCAATGATATTTTTCACTGATTATTTTTAACATTATCAATAACTGTTAATAATTGATCAAATCAAAAGTATCCAAACATGGATTATTTTCGTAAATATTCAGAGTAATCTAAGATTTTTGGATTAAAATACTTAATAATAGAAAACCTAAGAATAATAAGCAACTAGCATAACCCAAATATAACTCCAGAAATAATATTTAGTTTACGAACAGTTGAATCACTTTGTATACTAATTTCCACAATACCATATCCTTATGAATGTAAGAGGATTTTTTTTAATTTTTCGAAATTCTTTGCAAAATAATAAATAAAAATAAACGATCCCTGACCATCTACGCTCATATCAGTCATCCTCATATCGCATTCAATAACATCCCTCTATCTCTTTTTTGGTCTTCCTCTATCTCTTCTTCAACATTCATTTCTATAACTATTCTTACAGCTACCAATTCCTCTCCTCATATCATGACCAAACCATTTAAGTCTACATTCTTCCATTTTAACATCGTTTGACGCTACAACTATACTCCTTCTTATTATAAAAAAAAAATTTTTTTTAATTTAAAATACGTTTTAGTAAAAGAAATAGATGAAATATCAATTCTGAACAACTATTACATGAACATTTTTTATAAGTTAATCAGTTAGTTCGCAATATTTAAATAATCAAATGAAATTGATTTAAACAGTTTACATAAAACTATGTTGTAATTTTTTTTTCATCTTTTTAAGGTAATTATTCGTCTTAAATTTCGAAATCAATGACGTAATTTTGTAGCAAGTGACTGATTCAATTGAGCCATAATATTTTTTTATAAAAGTTATTTAAAAATTGAGAATTTGTTGAAGTTTAAATTCTAGGCATAATTTGAAAAAATCAACTTTTTAGTCGAGAAAATCATAAAAATGTGTATATCATTGCGTAAAAAGTTATACTGTGAGAATTGATTAATTTTTTTTCATCAGAAATCTTTTATTAATACACACACAATCATTTAGTTTTAAGAAGTCTAACCTAATATTCAGTACTTTCAATTTTTTAAAAAAATATGACTAAATTTCTGAACTTGAAATTTACCATCATATGCAGGCCATATATTTTTTCCCCATTACATTTGCTATACAGCAAATTATTTTCAAGGCTACTTAAAGTGGCAGCCATTAACGATGAGAAGCAAGACCGGTTGTGGATCTCTTGGCACAAGTGTACCTGTAAAATTTTGCCGAAGATGTTGTTCTAATCCTTTCAGATAATTCTATCAGTTTGACGGGTCACCGTCATTCATTGTGATTAAACGCCATATATTATTTGCAATTGTGCCTAGTATAGTATCGGATTATAATTTTTGTTAATAATGAATTGCATTACTAAAGATGAAAAATTTAGTACTAAATAAAAAATATTACTAATTCAAAATAATGTATGCTAATAGTAAAATAATTATATACTATTGCTCCAGATATTTATTTATTATTTTTCTTAAGGTTATAGACCTCAAGATCAATGACTTGTTAAACCGTATCATTGAAAAAAATATCTATGTGATTCTTTTATCTATTTTTTTATCTTCAATACACACGTTTTACATTTATAAGAAACATAATAAGACGATTTGGTTGTGAGTTTAGCAAGGCTATAATATGAAGTACTGAATACTTCAATACTAAATGTAATATAAAAATATTTTGTGATGATTTGGTGATGAATGCATACAAATTTTAGTTTAAATATTAATTTAATAGCTCTATTTTAACAAAATATAAGTAAATCTATACAAATTTAATCAATATTGAACATTCACTGCCTTATAAATAAATGTAGAGAAATGCACAATTCGTTTCGTCATTCCACTTAACACAATACAAATGATACTTAAGTTGAAGTATAATTATATTTTGCTCTTAACGGTTTTTTTGACATATCTATATTGATGAAATAATGATCCTGGATAAAATATTTATGTCTTCCAGCGATATCTACATGTTCGATAAAACTCACTTTTGTTTATAGATTTGATGTGGGTACAGTTATTAAATGCCACAGTACCGTTTGCTAAATCTAATTAAAAAACTCAACAGGTTCTATATCTAACGTTGATGATCAAGATAGAATATTTAGATACTTTTCATTTTGAAAATCGCTGATAAGTTTTATCAACCTATAGATACCACTGTAGTAAAATTTTGTGTGAACCATTTTAAAAAGGACCCAAGTTTTACAAATTTGTTGTTGAAATAAACAATAGCGTATTTACTATACTATACTTACTATACGTACCCTTTACACTTTTTCGTATAAAGGGATTAAACCCCCCTAATATCCTCATTACTATAAACCCAGTTAAAAAAAATTACTACGTTTTCAAGGCTATCAATACAAATTTGTACTGTCTAATAATGTGTTTGGAATAAGAAAGTTGAAATAAATGACATTGAATTATATTAAACTGCGGTATAGAATGCAACCTAGTTCTGTACTTTGTAAAGTAATGCGAAACTAAAAATTATTCATAGATAATCAGCTTATATAATTTAAAATTTAATTTTGATAAACATAGAAATTGTATGTTAAATTTGAATCTGCAATTCAAATTTACATTAAATAAAATACTTATAAAGATGAGCTGTTTATTTATATTTTTTGAAGGGTAAATGATAGATAAAGCAATGTCAAATAATGAAAACTCTAAGATTTTTTTTATGTCTTTGCCAAAATAGTTTCAACTTAATTGGGTGTACATAATTTATTCAATAAAAATCGGCGACTGTTCTTCATTATTAACAGAAAAACACATTAACGTAAATTTTTCGAATTGTATGGTAATTTTAAAACAAGTTTTTTTCATTTTTTATTATTTTTCCTAGACATTGAGACGCGATTATTTTTTATTGGTGGTTCAAGTGTTAAATGAGTCATCTTTCGTTAAAAACATTACATATTAAATATAAATTATCGAACAAATTAAAACCATTACTAAAGTAATTAATCTTTAAGCGAATGGTAACTCTAATAAGCAAAAAAAAAAATTAATTAGCATATAAATATATTATTATATAAGAATGTATACATGAATAATCGATTAAAATAGTTACTATATGGCAGTTAGTAAAAAGAAGGCCAGTGTCATCGAAACAAAAACGAATTAATAATCAATATATTTCTGTTTTAAGTATCAAAGAATAAAATGTTTAAAATAATATTGGTGGATGACATCAACGTATCGTTCTTAATTTTTAGTTTCGATGCGAAGCTTAGGTAATAGTTTATTAATATCACATTTTTTTTTTAGTTTTACTTTTTTCGTTTATTGATTAAGTTTTGATAAAAATTTATGTTTTAAATGTTATAATTATAAAGTTATTTATAATGTTTTCTTGCCATGCCATTACTTTAAGTAGGAATTAATTTTAAAACAAACAAGATATTTTACAACAAATTATTTAACAAGTCCTACATTAAAAATTAAGATTCCATAGTAACTATTTTATTAAAAGCCGTTTAAAAACGAGAAAAACAAAAATTACAAAAAAATAGAAAAATATTTTAATAATCGATTAATTGATGATAAGTATGATAAGTAGTTTATAAACTTGAACATATTAAAAAAAATTAAGAAACAACAAAGTATGCTATTTTTCAAACAAGGACACTCCCCTGAAAATGATGACATAGATTTGTTTGTTACTTTTAGATTTTATTATTTTATTATTTTTTAATAAGCAAACACGGCGATATAATATATTAATTATCAAGATTAACTAATCATATTATTTTTAATGTTTTACAGTGTTTGCTTTTAATTTATGAAAACGTTAATAGAAGTGGAACGATTGACGCAAAGTACTGTCTAACTTTAGAAGCATTGATTTTTTTTTTAAATTCTCTATTTAAAAATTAAATTATTAATGAATAAATAAATATTAAATTAATAAAAGAAATACTGTATTTTAATAAATTACACATTATACTATTGTATAATTTTTCCATCGTATTGATTATTTATTTGTGTTATTTATATTGAATTACTTTAAAAATAATTCATACACTACGAATTTTATGATGTTCCCAATTTCTTAAGATATGCTAAAATTAAAAATTAATTGATTTAGTTTATTGGGTAATGAACTATTAAATATTGGTCAAGCTACAAATACACAACCAGTTTTATTTAGTCTCGCATCTTATCATTAATACAACTAGAAAAATATTTTTTAGGGTGATAATTGTATTTTCCTCCACTATAAAAAGTAGTTTTTTATGACAACGTATACGATTGTTTGCATTGTGAAGAGGTGCTAACTTATCAACTGAAGTGACAAATTTCATTTAGTTGTGCTATGCGTATAATATAATATATTATATTATCACATTCTGAATATTTGGAACTACATGAAAAAATATTTTAAGAAAAAATAGTAACCATTTAACTTTTAGATGAAAAGTTTACATCTTTTATTGAAATTTCTAAAACTGAAAAATTTTAGTTCTGATCGAATTATTACTCGATGAAAAAATTACTTTGTAATTGAAAATAATAAAGCTATTAATTTTATCAATATTTTAAACACTTATTTATGTTTTATGAAAATATATCTTTAAATAATTCTACTTAGTCATATTAAAAAAAAAACAGTAAAATATCAAACTTATTTTTTTCTTTGCAAATAATCTAACATTTGTCAATATAAATGAAATAAAAGTAAAGAATAATTTTTACCTAACAGAATAACATGTAAATACAAAAATAACGTTAGCTGTATACAAAATAATAATTTCAAAAAATTATAAAACATTTTTCTGTTATTTTCATTATTTTTTCATATCTAAAAAATAACGTTTGATATTATAAGTGATTTATGTATTGTCATTGAAGTTTCTAAATGGTATTCTATTATTATCCATTAACTATTTTGTGGATAAACTTACAAACCTGGTTAAGTTCGTTTTTATACCAATATGTTGGTAAAATTTTACACTATATAGTGTATAGATTTTTAGTTATTTAATAAAAACACTACTGAGTATAATATACTCGAAAGGTCCAAAATATTACGTTAAAATCTTATCCGACCACTAAAAGTACATATTTAGTTTTAATAAATCTTACAAAGGAATAACTTCGGAGAATCGACAGCTGCATTAGAGATATTTAAAATTTATATTTTTATTGTACAGCGAATAAAAGGCAATGCTTAAATTATCTGAAGTTCGCTGATACCAAGGTCAATGCTGAAGATGAGTACATAAAATATTGATGTTGTTAATAAAAAAAATGTTCTTCTCAAAGAGCTGTATAAAAAATGAGTTACACAGAATCGAATAAAAAAAAACACCTTTCAAGACTAACTATGAAACTCTATACACTCTACACTTTTGTCGTGGATGTAATCGTATACAGTTGATCCTCTAACCGGTTAAAGTGCAAGTAGTTTATGCAGAACGTAACCAGTTTTACGTCGATGAGTTGGACGAAGTATCCGTTCCGAGGACAAAGAAAATAATAGCAGTTCCTCTCAACAGATCTCCAAGGGGGTTATCATTGGTTTCCTTGCTATAGCCATTCGTTTTATTGCTATTATTTTTTTGTTCGCATCATTTGTTTTCTATGCTATTAGCCTCCTCTCGCTTTAGGTTCTTCTTCTATACATCGTTATTGATGGCTCGCCGCAGCTCAGCAATCTATTTAAGGCCGGACTGGTGTTGAGCGAGCTCAATTGGGCTTTAGTAGCTTAAAAGAAACTGTTAAACCTTTAGGTCTCGTACACATTTATCAGACACACTCTATAACCAAAAAATGAAGGTAAGATTCTGTTTAACAAGACATTTAGAGTTTAAATACTTTGAAATTAAAAAATAAAATGTTTTATTAGCTATAAAGGTTATATTTTTGTTATAACTAGAGGATTAATAAGAATGTTTATAATTATTATTTTATTTCAATTTTATCAAGGCAAAACTATTTCACAAATTTTATCTTTCTTATTTTATTATTATAATTATAGTTTCTTTTTCAAATCAGTACATTAGTATTATTTGTAGACTATTAGTACAGAATCTAACAAATTATTATTACATCAATCATATTTTCATCGATTTAAAAATGCAATTTTCTGTTAAAATTTAAACTTCAAATTCCAATACGTAAATTAATTTATTAATTTTTAGAAAAAATGACTTTATAATTTTATTTTAACCCAAATTTAGCTAGTTCATATAAAAATAATAATTTTATTATTTCCATGTCTAAAGTGTTTAATCAAGGCTTAGGAACGAAATGATATTGATTTTTCAAAAATTATTACCATATCTAGTAAGTTGGTTGATTGTTATGGAATTTTTTCAAGGATATGTAAAATAATAGTTGTTTTACAAAATCGCTTTTGAAACTCAACATTTGACATTTATAAAGTTTAAAAACCAAAATTAATCAATCATTTTTTTTTTCAATTCATTTCGGTTTTCAAAATATTTTAAAATCAAATTTTAAGTTTAAATAAAATTTCAAAAGCAGTCTTATAATATTTTTAATTATTGTAATTGTTTTTTCAATCTGTGCAGTCAAATGGATCAACTTGGGGCAGTTAAATATCTATTATAATTTTCAATCTACCGCACTAGTAAAATGTTTACAAGTATTGCAATGATGCACAAAATATATGTTCATAAAAATTAAAATTTGTAAAGTATTTAACTGACTCAAATTGGCCCATTTGATGTCATACTGTAATTTTACACATAATTAGTGCAATTTGGACATTAAGTTTGATTTCACTAAAAAAACTAGACATAGATGAGTTTAATTACTCGATATAAAAAAAAATGGTCATTATTTCCTAGCCCTGTGTTTCATTCAGTTAATAATATACTCGCACAGGTCATTGATCGTTACGATACGATTAGTCTCACCTTAATAGTAGCACGTTCAAGGTTGTAAACAAACCATTCAAATTATTCGATTTTAAAAAATAGATCAATTTTTTTACGTAATATGAAAAAAGTAATATCTGCTTTTCATTTCTTATTAAAAGAATTCATGTTTTAATTTAATACAAGTATGAAATCATTTTTATCAACTTTTCCCTTTTGTCGCCAATGACAGTTATCAGTTGTTGAAAATAAATTGTTTAATCTCACTAATTTATCAGTTGTATGAGATTCGTAGGTTTTTAATTTTTATAAAATGCAATGCTCACACCTAATATATTGTTGTGCTTTGTTTTATTTAAATGTTTTTTATAGTTCAACTCTAATAATTTACGTTGTTTTTATATAGGTTTTATGTGTTGTTTTATTGTTAGTGGCGTCAGTCATTGCTCACCATGATCAAAAACCAGCATCTGCTTCTGTACAAAACGTTGCATCGACAGCATCCCCTTCACCCGTGCCATACTCAGGACAAGTACCGTATTCTGGCCAAGTCCCATACCCTGGTCCTTACCCATTCGGAGCTGACTATAACTCGCCTTTAGCTAAATCAGGATTCGGCCCCAAAGCAGCTCCAGCCATCGGTAAGCCTAACATGTAACTAATTACATGATAGTATAGAATAATATATTTAACGATCCTTGATGTTTTTAGGCGCATACCAACCATACCAACAATACAACTATAACCCATATCAGTCGCCATACTATCCATCACCAGCTTACACTGGTTATCCAACACCATACGCTGCACAATCTGCATACCCCGGGGCGTTCTTCGGAGGATACTCAGCTGCTGGCGCATACCCATATTCTGCATACCCATACAATAACTACCCTACGAGTGCATACCAATCCAGCTCTCCAGCTTTCAGAAGCAGCTTTGCTGACCCTGTTGTCCCCTACCATCCATACTCATCTCATTCCGCGGCGTCTCCATACACTCCATTCCCAATGTCTCACCATCACTTGTCTCCATACAGTTCTCACCCAGCTCAACAGTACCCGTATTTACAAAATGTACAAAACTCCGGCGCCACATCTGTAGCTGATTCTTCATCCAAAGTCTCTGAAAGTAAATGAACATGATCTTCAACAATTGTACACGACTCCTCTCTACATTATTTTTAACACTTTTTTATTGAAATAAATGTATTATTTAAGTAAAACTGTTGTTGTTATTATTGAATGAAATCATTTAAAAATATACTTAATTCATTGAAATAAATTCATACTATGGATAATACATAAATAAATTATACACATATACAACGCATATCGCACATAATCTATAATATGCACAAAAACATAATTAAACGTTATTTATTATCAATGGATGATTTTAATCTTTTGATGCTACTGATTAGGTTATCGAACATTTCCAAGTAAAGCAGTTCATTAAGAAAATTGGTGAAAATTTCAAACAGATGTATAATTAATTTAATGCTAATGAATGTAATTTAGATGATCTATTATGGAAGGGTTATGACAAAAATCAACAAAACTCTAATTTTCATGTAATAACATTAATTGCAATAATTGGAAAATAATATAAATACGTTGCCCATTTGCCAATAAAAATAAAAAAATATTCTACAACAATAATTAATAGATATAATTATACCTTTTAACATACATATAATTTTAATTATATACATATAATTTGTGAAAACAGTAGTAAATCAATTTCAAGAAAAATGTTTAATTAATAAATTTTGAAAAATTAATTTTTATCCAAATATTTTGAAGAAAGTTGTTGCAAAAAACTAGAAGATGTCAAAATCAACTGATTTTAAATACCACAATTTCGTGATATTTTCTTAAAAAAAAGAACAATTGTTTTCAAAATTTTTAGGGTAATGCTCTTAGGACAGATTTAAAATAAACTTAAAAAGTTGGTTAATAGTTTTTTAAATTTTACATAAAAATTAATGTCTTTTTTTTTTGTAATTAATAACTAAATAAACAATATATTTCTTATATGTAAAAATATAAAAATCGTATAAAATATCTAATAAAAAATATATAATTATTATAGTTTTTATGGACTCAGGTTTTGTAACATTTTCAAAAATTCTAAAAATGAAATATTAGTAAAATTTTTCATTAATTATAAATGTTCCTTGTACTTCGGTTTAATCTAATTGTAACAAGTTTTTGTTAGAAGTTTTTATAACAAATAAAATATTTAAACTCAATGCTATTAAAATAACATAATTTTTTATATAATATAATTAACTGTTTAATCACTAAAAATTTCAATTTTTTAAATTAATTAAAAGTTATAATTATTTATATATATTTTATTATTATTATTACTATAAATTGATAAAGAACTTTATTTTGTATAATTAAATTATCAGCGTTTTATTACATTTTCAATTTTAGGTTGATAAAATGAAATAAAACATATCGAAGCAAAAATTTGATGTAAAAAGTTATTATTCACGTACCACTTTTAAAAACATAATTTTTATAAGATAAATTATGATTCATTTAAAACACCAGTTTTACATAAATTTTGGACACATTTAATTTCATCGAACTTTTTCAAATGTGTATACTTTTTGTGTTGAATGAAGAAATAATTTCTATTTCTACTTAATTTAGCTATAGAATTACACCACGAAGATAAAAAAAAATTAATTAAAAAAAATGAATGTTTTAGTTATTGCAAAAGTATTAATAATTTTTATTCATTTTATAAATGCAAGCAACTATTTAATTAAAATATCATCTTAAATATATAATATTATATATATAAGCAGGATGATAAACACGTAAAAGTCATAAAAAAAAAATTATATTAATATATAATAATTTATTCTAAAAAGTTTTATTCTTGAAAAAATATTTGATTTTATTAAAGATTTGGCCACAACTCAATTCTGTACAGCATACTAGTTCACAGCTTTATGATATATTTATTCAATATAGAAATTTAAATATTCATTTATTTGGCGATAATTTATGTCCACAATTACATAATTTTTTTTTTGTAAAATTAGTAAATGTAACTGTTACATTCACATTGTACCATGTAAGCAACAACAGTATATACAATTACATATATCTATAATTTAAAATACTAAATGAATAATGTTTCACGGAAAAATAAGCAACTTAAAACAAATAATTTGATTGACTTATTAAAACTAATTGAAACTAATTGAGCTGGGAAATAATTTTAAATTAATAATCGACAATTTTATTTTATGAAATAATTATATTTATATGTGTTATTATTTTATGGTTAAATAAGTTGAATTACATTATATTATTTTTTTACAGCTTATAAAATCTAAAACAAATAAAATGAACAAAATTTACTAATGTATGTGATGTATTATTTTGGTTATTAAAATATTTATCATTACGTACTCTTGAAATTTTTTTTTTTATTCAAAATCACAACGCCATAAAACTAAGCAAATCGAAATTATTGAATGATTTTACGTCCACTATAAGTATAAAGACAAACTCAGGAGAATTATGCGACACAATTGAAATAATAAAATGGAATAACTAAGCATATTTTTCGGTCGCTAAGAATAAACAATGTTATAAACTCCAACTTTCTAGAAATAATGGATATATTAGAGAAAACTTTCCATTAAACTATAAAAACAAGTTTTATTATTCCTATATCTAAACCGATAGGACAAATTTGAAATTGAAAATCGCTATCCAATTATGTTGTTATGTACAATGATTAAAACATTCGAAAAATGTTTGACACTAAAATCAGATGGTTCTTACAATCAAACAAAATCTTAACAATAGAGCTAAGTGGCTTTGGAAAATATCTCACAACATTTAATCTTTTAATCTGCTTACATAATGAAATAAACAGTGTATATACAAACAAACAAGATCTGTCATGTTGATACCAATATGTTTTTCCTTATTTTTAATACATAATAATAAATTATTTTATGTATTGCGAGCTAGTTACACTACACAAAAATCTATATAATTTATGTAATAATTAATATTATATTTTATATCAATTGTTTATTAGCTTCGATGCGAAGCTGAGAAGGTATTGGTTTTACTAAGACGTGTTTATTTTTTTATTTTATTTTTTTTTTTGTGTCTGTTACCACTTTTTCTCAGCTCTCACCGAACCGATTTCTTTCAACGATACGTCAAAAGATCACAAATCATATCTAGTCGAAGACATTACCCTCAAAAATAGAAAAAATTTCCCTCGTTCCCCGTAAATGGGGGAAACCTCCAAAAAAATTACAAATTTATAAAAATCGCTAATTTTCAAAATTTTTTCAATTTTTTTTACTAAAATGTGCCGTAACTTTTTCAAAAATGAACATATCAATATAAATTTTTTTTTTTATAGATGCTTGATGTCTTTATCTATCATTTGGTAATATTTTTTGTAAATCTGACACTTAACCTGCCCACGGGGGAGGATTTAAAATGACAACTTTTATACAAAAAATTAACTTTTTCAACTTAACTTTTGAAAATGTTCCGGAAAGTCTGACATTTTTATATATATCTTAAATTAAAGATAATGTAATATAATTCATTATGAAAAAAAAAAAATTTGACCTCTGGACTTGACTTCATGGTTAAAACGGCTACCGAATGCTATTTTTGTGTGAAATTTCTCGATTTTTTATTTTACATTTTTTAATTTAAAAGGTTATAACTTATTAAAAAGTGTATGGTTCAACAAAATTTTTTTATGAGAAATAATATTTTTTAATAATCCCTTCTTCATTCAGGATATTTATAAGAAAATAGCAGATCATGTAGCTTTTGGAATAATCAACCAATTTTTTAAAATTAAACATTATTTAAAGATTTGCATCGAAGCGTTTTTTTTTTTATAGTGATTTTAATCAATGTCAGATATCATTATACTTGATCCAACTATACCACGTCACCATTGTGCCGCGACCCCCCTGTGCTGGGTTTGGTTTTTTTAATATAAAGATGAATTATTTTTTATTTAAAATCAACTATTGTACATCTTAATCTCAGACTTTTAATTGGTTAAATTGAAATTTATTTGATTATTGAATTTGACGCCTAGTTCTTTCTTAAACTGACAATATTTTCATTTACGTGCTTATTGAGAAGACTAATAATAATTATAATCATTTTGACCTTCTAATGGTGTTTTACCTAAGTTAATGTTCAATAATTGATTTTAAACTTTTTCGTATATATTTTCTCATCTAGTGGTCTTTTGGCGAGTAGCCATTTATTTTTCATCGGAAAACAAGTTTTGTTCATCTTTTAAATAAAATTAAAAACTGGAACTAAAGATGATACCCCATGGACCTGTTTAATCTACTGCATTGGTGAACATAGATTTTTTTTACATAGCTTTTATGTATATATTTTTTGCCCCTTACATCTAATTTTTTTTGATAGTCCTTGAAATTTTGTTGATTTTATAGTGGATGCAATTCCTATTTAAACTCAGTTCTGCGAGCTATTCAGTACATTACAGTCATCTCGAAAACTGAGGTATTTTGTTTATTCAGTATTTTAAGCAACTCAAAAAACAAACTATCATCATGAAGGTAAGACGAACAAATAATATTTATATATATATTAATTTAAAACTGTACAATTTTTATCATATGTCAAATATGTGTTCAGGTCACATGTGTTGTACTCCTTTTGGTCGCTTTAGTCGCCGCAGAAAAAACTGAAAAACGCGATGCCCTTTACAATGGAGGTAAATAATCACTTTATTTAAAATTATATAGAAGTCATAATTTAAGTTTTATATTCCAAAATTTATCTTAACTACTTTTTCTATTCATACTTTTTGTATGATTTTCAATATACTTTTTTAATTGAAATGTAAAAATAAATTTGAATAAAATTCTATAATATAATCACATTAACTTCATTAATTAGTACTAAAAATCATAATACGTACTATTTCGTACTTCTTCTACGGTGATTTGACATATATTAATTTACTTTAAAATAAAAAATTGCATTTTTTTTATTCGCATAAATACTTAGGATTTTTTTTTTAAAGAACCAATACAATATTTAAAACATTTTAGTCTTAGAACATCACTATCATAATAATTATGAATAAAAGCAACTTATCAATATAATTGATGGGTAACTCATTCCATAATACTTAAATATATAAATTTTAAATCAAATTTATTTGAATTAATACTTATGTTTCGTCATGAATTAGTATATATACATTTATATCAATTAATTTAATAATTAACTGATATAAATGATTTTAATATTATATATATTTGGGTAGTAGAAATTCAAAATATAGTCATTGCAAATTAAATAATATTTTTGTATGGTGAAACATCACTCTAAGAAATTTAGATTGGATAGATAAACCTTAACAATAACATAAATTGAAGCCTTATAGTCGACAATGAAACTATTACTTGTAATTTACGTTTGTACTATGCAGTAAACTTTTTATATTTAAAATTACAATTCTTCTTTTCAATCTTCGCTGTAGGTCTTTTAGAACACCTATGATGATTGAAATCGCTAATGGATAAATCAATGTTACGATTATTATTTCAATATTCTTTTACATTGAAATTTCATTGAATGATAAGGAAATTATTAAACAAATTCGCTCATTAATGCACCTTAATTACAAATAATTTTCATCGAATTTCTAAAAGACATGTACATCAATTATAATTATGTGCATATTAATTTTTTTAACGCAAAACCAAAAAGTATTTTTAGTGTGCTGAGGATATGACATTAAAATTCAAGTAATAGATTTGAATTAAAAAGTTTTACATAATTTTAATAATTGGTTATTCTATTTATCAAATATAATGTTTAGTAGTTTTATTTTTTCGCATAATAAAATTAGCTAACTTCACATGCTCATTGCTCTAAAGCAGACACTTTTAGCATCAAATAATTAATGATAATATGCTAAAACACTGTTCAAGTGATGCTTATAAATTATTGTTTTTTGCTGTGTATAAACAGGACACATATAGTAATTTAAGGTATAATGTATCATGCAAGTTGAATTAATGATTTTTTATTGTCAGATTGAATTTAATACCGTTTATGTCATTATAACTTACCCGATATTTCTCTTTTTTTTTCAGTATATGGATCCGCATTTTCTTATGGAGTTGGAAGCCCTGTAGTCCCTCAATCTCACTCTGTCCATGGAGTTGCTCAACCACTCGTTAAATCTTTGCCAGCATCATACTCTGGAGCTTACCCATCAGCTTACTCAGCATACTCTGGAGCCTACCCATCAACTTACTCAGCATATTCTGGAGCCTACCCATCAGCTTACTCAGCATACTCTGGAGCCTACCCATCAGCTTACTCAGCACACTCTGGAGCATACCCATCATCCTTCAGTCCATACTCTGGTGCCTACCCAGCATCCTTCGGTTCATACTCTGGTGCCTACCCATCATCCTTCGGTTCATACTCTGGTGCCTACCCATCATCCTTCGGTTCATACTCTGGTGCCTATCCAGCTGCTCACTCTGCACACGCTTATGGATCTCCACAATACCTTGGTTCTCAAACTCTTGCCCTCAAAAAATAATTGTTCAACTTTGAACAAACTTCTCTAAAAACGTTAATTTAAATTTTCAAAATATTTTTCAAATGTTATAGTGTACATAAATGTAAACTAATTAACTTCTCAAATAAAATAAATAGTATTTTACTGAAATAATAATTTTTTTTTTCATTTCACATAATTTACCTCCCCGAAAATTCTAAAATGCTCTTATATTAATTAACACTGTTAAATAATAACAGAAATACGAAATACATTTATTATTATTTTAAGTTGATGATTTTAAAAAAAACAGTTGTTATTATTATATTTTATAGAATGTAACTGCTAACTATATAAACATAATCCATTGGTTTCTTATGAGAACTGATGAGCCCAATAAATATTTTGACTTTCGAATTATTGGAAACTACATCGGCTATCGCAATATTACAAACATATTGTCATAAGAATGACAGGAAAATCCGATTTGAAATTTATAAAGAAAAATATATTATTATATCAATTAAAATCCAATATATTTCCATAATCAAAGGAAAGGACCAACACATACATGTATATCACGAATTGATAAAATTAGTAATACACAGTAGATTTACTAAAAATAGTGAAACTATTGTGGCCCTTTAATTTTAGAGACTTCCGCGAAGGTTTTGTTAGGTCTTCTATGATATTTCATGTTTTATTTTTTTTACAAGTTTTATATTCGAAATTTATAATTTGCTTATACATTTTAAATTTAAATAAAACAAATTTTTATACAATTAATTCTATTATAAATCTGTGTCTATTATCTAAAAGTTGATTTGTTATTTTAGTATTTGTAATATTGTAATTGCAATTGAAATTATTATAATAACAAGAAATATTTTTTAGTTAATACAATATAATATATATTTAAATTCTATCTCCCCGAGCATTTCTTAGATACATAATTTATGATTATTTAATATAACAATTAATATTCTAATGTGTGATAATTAATGATCACACATTACTCAACTAATTGAATGTGTAAATAATAGCAATGCCGCTTCTAGTAATTCTAAATAGTCTAATTACTAGTTTAGAAATACTAAATTTGTTTTGTTAATAATAATTGTTATAAAACGAACAAGAATATTTTTGACACAAATTTACAGTTTTTTTCGGATATATTAAAGTTACCAAATGCCACAAGTAGAGGGCGCTACTAAAATATAATAATAAAAAAAACTATTTTATCATAAAAATGATAAATCACTAGATTTTTTATTTCAAGTGTTCATTTATTCGAATTTTTGAAATAAATATTACTTATTTTTATCAACTTTTTGTTAAGATAGAAGAAAAATGTTTATGATGTCTTTGAAAAAAAATTACTCTTATCAAGGATCGTTATTTTGAATTACTGTACCCATATATTGGTATTTAAAATGATAATAAATTCAAAAATATAGGTCCAAAGCTATTATTGACCAATTTTTTTTTTTTTTTAATTAGATAATTTTTATTTTACAAATTAGTTAAATATGTATGTTGTTAGTAAAACCCCCTAATTTACCGTCTTAAGACGGAAGACAGATTTGAAAGCTTTTACAAATAAATATTGATTATTGGTTTGAATTAAACTTAAAAAGGTAGACTTCATTGAATCGATCTATGATTAATGAACATAATTCATTTTAATAAAAGTTGAATAATGTTTATCGTAAAAAAATACTGAAGAAACTTTTTCATTTTTATGAACTTAATAAACATTAAGTATGATGTAAAACGAATTATTTCCTATGATATTTTTTAGGTTAGGCTTTCAAAGTCAAATGAAAACTTATTCTTATTTTTATACTATTAGATGGAGAATAGACTTAATAAAATATTATCTCGACAAAACTTGTCTATAGAATAATATTTTTTTTAATAATATAATTTTTAGGTATAGGTTGAAAGGGTGCGCAAAGTGAAAGTATTATTATTTGTGTATTGTTGTAATAAATAATATATTTTACTTGGTGTATAATTTTTTTCTGTGTTACGCAATAATTTTGTGGTGTTATTAAAAATAATCCAAATTTCCAAATAAAAACTTAATTTTGCTTTTAATTGCCTAGCATGAAAAAAGTTGATTTATTTTTAGGTAAGAGGTAAAATGTTGCCAAGTCATATGTAAATCACTATTATTATATGACCTTATAATTCGAGTGATTAGAAGGTTGTCCTGTTTACATTTGTTGATATTTTTAATTTTTGTTCTTACATATACAAAAAAAAACACACCTTTTTTCTATAAAATGCTTCAAAGCGAAATAATAGAATGCTAAATAATTATTTAAATATTTTTATTAAATACATATATATTTATATTAATGTAAGAGATTTTTTTAATACTATAAATATACATATTAATATATAGAAAATAATTTGTTTATAACTATTGGGGTGTTAAGCTGACAAACATAGAAATTATAAAAAAAGTTGCTTAAAAAATACGATTTCGAAGAGAATTTATAACTCTTCGAAATCGGATTTTTTAACGTGAATTAAGTCACTTCAAGTTTTAAAGATAAGTTGTTTTATTTTTGATAGATTACAGGTCATATGACATATTATTTATCTGACAATTCAGAATGAATAAATAAAATAATTACTGTAATTAATAATCATGCAGTATAATATTAAATTTTCAATAGTGAATGTTATATTAACATACCAGTCAGTGCAAAACAAATTTTATTGCACACATTTTAATTATTAAACTTATTAATTCATTGAATTTACGTTAAAATATTGTAAAATTTCCGTTACGCTAAAATACATAAAAAATAATATTTTACATAAAAAGTATGTAATGCGACCCAGTTTATTTGCATGTATAATTACTTTTGAAAAAAATTCAGTAATATGAAATGTGGCTATTATACTAGGTAATCGATTTAGGATACTCATTTTCATGATATTAAGAAGTTAGATTTAAAAAAACAAAGTAGAGTTAATGTTATAAGTTAATAACTTTCAATAGAAACTCAGTTTAATTACTAGTTACTTCAAATAGTAATAATATATTCTTTTATCTAAGTAAAGTTAGCTTATATATTTGCTGTCCATATAAAAGGTATTTTTTTTTATTAAGAAAGAAGAATAAAGATCTACAATAAAAACTGCAACAAACAAATCATTTTTTTTTTTTTGTCATTTGACATTACTAAAAAACTTGAATACCACATAATTCTGTTGTTGCAGTTCAAACCTTCACGCGGACTAAGTCAATATATTCTTTTCGTTATATATATTAATAAATAAAATATGTATAATATATTTTAAATTTCTCAGAAAATGTTTATTTTATTTCAGTACTGTTAATGACAACTACTGAACACTAATTTAACTTATTAAAAAACTACAGTTTCACACGGTACCTCGTTTCCCTCAGCCGCACATCATATTGTCGACCTATATGAGAGTGTATCTAAATCATAAGTGCACTTATGGGCCTAGTGGTAAGGTTTGTCTTTAAGACGCCTTGAGTCTCGGGTTCTAATCCCGTACAAGATTTCCGGTACACTTTCTATGACTGGCGACCATGTTAAGTTAATTATTTAAACTATCTAGTTAAATTCAAACGTTAAGTACGTGTTTAGCGTTGATAATGGTAACATTGTTTCCAAAATATTTATCCGCGATGTTTTCTGGCCTTTTGAGTTTAATATTTTTTAGTTTTAAATTAATAATATTTTTAATATAGTTTTAATTAAAAAAAATTAACATCGTTCCAACCCTAATATGCGTTGAACGACTTCAAAACTAAAAAAAAAAAAATTCCAATCAATCATAAGATTAGAAGAATAAATATAAAATTAAACACATTTTGTTAGTCTTTTAAGTGTATAAGGTCAAAATAAGAATAAAAATAAAATCAGAATAATACAATACGATTGAAGTTAATAACGCACTTTGGGACATCACAGGTAACTCTATTCTAGTGATCCTTCACTGTTTTTAGTATGAGATCCATTTTACCCGGTGGCAATATTTATTACAAATTTAAACCCGTTTATTGTTTTTTATACGATTGTATAATTCATGATTGATTATACAGTAGAAGAGCAAGAGGAGGATGATCGTGAATTCCATTTTACCCGAGTTCATACCACACTCTGCTGCTCGAATACCTTAAGCGCACTGTTTCTATCTCTTTTTGGTCTGCGTAAATCTTTTCTAATTAAGTGGTTGCTAGTGATCAGAAGACAGGTGGGGATAAATTGACGTTTACCGGTGGCTAGTGATCCACCGCTCCGGTTCCGTTGGCATACATCGCGCCTGGAGTGGCCACCACCGCTGATCCCAGTGCCGACTGTATGTTTTATTACACTAGGCGCTCTCGGTACGGCGACGCATTACAATAATAATTGTCCACTCGGCGTCCATTGTAATCGGAGAAGTGAACACTTTCGTTGTATTGTGTGTACTGTAATTTGTTTCTTTTAAGTAAGCCGATCAACGACAACGTTCCATCTGCCGGTCGGACCTGTGGAAAAAGTGTCATCCGCGGACATCTCTCGGTATCTTTTAAAACGTGTAGCACAGTACGACATGAATCCACTCGGCTTATCCGTAAGTATAAATAAATGCTCGATTGTGTTTTTTTATTTCTGTTTATAAACGTGTTGTGCGTATGAGGCTCGCATTTGAAATACGGTTTGTGAAGAAAATAAAATCCCTATTGTTACTTACCCCGTGATGAACTCCACGGGATAAGGTCACTGGCCATGACCTTGATTGAAATCGTCTGTCTGGACTCTCCGGAGTTTTATGTCTGGCCACGCTGTCGAAGGACAAACCGGACTTGAGACTTGTTTACGGATTGTCCGATTACTGTAAGGCGTTTAAAGACAAAGAAACTAACTAGGGTGCTTAAGAACGGTATGAAGCTCAGGGTTAGATTTGGTTTGAGGATTTTATGTTTAAATGATACGATTTTCAGCTGAATTACATTTTAACTAATTAACCTGATAAAATTGATTGATTATTCAAAATCGAGAGGAAGTTTTTGGATAGAATCAGTTTATTGCCGGAAATCTTTTTATTATCAGAATCAGGAACACTCAAGTTCCTCATAACGAAATTAATATTTTCCAAGTGACGGCTTCATCAAAATATGTCGTCGTAAAAAACTTTATCTAAATTTATACTGAACAAATATAAAACAACAGTTTAATATTTTATCAAAAAAAATTAAATACTGTTTACATAGAATTTTTTTTTAATTGATATTCTTTAAGATAAATTAAAACGTTTTTTTTTTATGCTCCTATTTAACTAACAGAAAATCATAAATGTTTTTACTTTTTAAATATCCATAGATTAATGTTGATCAATACTATTCAATAGCATAGCCAAAATAGTTTGATGTATATTAAAATTAAAAAAAAAATTGAATTTATAAGTAAAATATTTTGTTTCAAAATACACTGAAAAAAATCCTTCGGTAAAATCAACAAAAACATTATTAAAATACATACGTCCAATAAATTTTTTGTTAAATGAATCATAGTTTTTTGTTAATTTAGCCATTATTTTTTTTTTGAAGAATAAAAAATTATAAAATTACAAATATATTGTAAAATCGATAGAAAAAATTGGTTAAAGTAATAACAAAAGATATTATTTATTTTACAAAAATTTTATTAAACGTATAATTATAAAAAATGTATTGATTTTACCAAAAAGTTTTTCATTGTAAAATTTTTTTTAATTTTTTTTTCGTTTAGATGGTTTTTTTTTAGAACTATGGATTATTGTTATTTCTAGTATCTAGTTTTTTCAGCGTTTTACTATATTATTTGAAATAATTAACGTAACACAAAATTAATGTTAAAAAATTGTACATTTCTATTTTATGTTTTTATAAATGAAAGATACTTAAAATTTTGATGTCCTAATTACAATTATGGTAAAAGCAGTAAAAAATTTAAGTATTTTATTAACAACACATTTATTCAAATCATATACGTTATACTTGTTTAATTCGAAATTGAGTAATGAATAAATGATGAGCAAATAAATATGTTTTCATGCGTGACCATTTTTAAAAACTCAAAACCCTCGTACAAAATAGACAGATCCAATTCATCAAAATGATAGACGTTCAAAATTAAATTGAGGAATTCGAAAACAAATACTATCACGGAGCGGACACGAGTGTTACACAGTTTTCTATCATCGTTAATTATATAGAAACAATCTTCTGAACGATATACATTATAAGGCATAAACCAAACTCTACATTATCGTTCGTTCATAGTACTTAGTGTATCATTATAAGTTATGAATTATGATCTGTGTTTAAATTTATAAATGTAATACGATATACGTCGTATTAAATTTTTGAATAAATACAATATTTTCATGATTTATTATAAGTTCTTCTGTTGCACAGTATTATGTCTTATAACTATTGTTTTCATAGGTTAGATAGGTGTAACAACTCGTGGTTGTTACACCACAGAAAAATTATTATTACATAGCATATTATTGAGACTTATGCGCTGGTGCAAAAAGTCATTAGTTATACGTCACTTGACGCATATTATTACAAAGCCCTTTATTAAATTTATAAATCGTGACCCTGATCTTAGTATTTGTTCTTATAAGCTGAGTTCTAAATAGCTCTTGGTATTTATTATTTATTTGTATAAACGCCACACAAAGTCACGTGAACAATAAAAAATAAATCAATTATATACTTATGGAAACGACAAGTTTCTATAACTGTCGGAAATTACTATGTAAGAACTATCCGTTAGTTTACGGCGATTCAAACGAACATGGAAGTGTTTAATTTTCTCTAGTAATAATTTTCTATGAATGGAAAAAGTTACTGAACTAACCCTTAATAATCATAGTAACTATTTATGGCTAACGAATTAACTTAGCCAAAATCGGAATACTTATTCTTGACAGGATAATTTATTGATTTTGAACAATTATACATCATGTTAATGTTATTGGCGCACGGTGTTAACGATCGTTGAAGTCCCCAGCTGATAGATGTCGAATTAGGCAAGCGAATTAAATCCCAACGGTTGTCATACGATAAATGGAAGATTTGTCCGGGTGGTTCCAAAGTCAATGGCACGAGATGGCTGAGGTCAACGAACACTGTCGGTCGAGGTTACCCAAAGTTCACACGTATAATATGTAATGTTTTAATGTACTATATTAAGGCAAAAACAAAACGTGTTATTAAAATAACCATTTCGGATGGTGTGCAAGACATGCGGACAAGTTCGCCCACTTGTCGTGTAAATCGGTGCAGAATCTCCACGTAATTATACAAATCACTTAGAGAAACGATTACGCCCATCGTTGTATTAGCCGATGACCATACAGTAATGCACTCAAAAACTAGACCTTCTTCCCGATTATTCACCTATGCTTAAACAGTTACAAACAAAAAATTCCATTAACAGATAGCATTCACATACGAAATTATATTAATATTAATATTTGCAAATTTTATTTTAAATGTTTTCTAGACGGTCACGGCCAACACAATTTACCGTTTATAATAAAAAACGTGACTTGTATACGTACTTCTGGTTTTATATACCAATAAAATATATTTCTGTTGTTAATCAAATTAAATTTTTTTTGTATTATTGTTTATCAAGATCGTAGTACTAAATAATTTAATAAGTCGTAACAGATACACGCCCAAAGGTTTACACCTACTTGCTAAAATCATTATAATTTTGGTCACTTTAAAGGACATAAAACTCCTACTAATACATTTACATACAACGAAATATTTTATTAGCTACCTGTTTTATAAAACTTAACTAGTATACAATTCGACTCAATGCTAAACTATTCAATCCTCTGTGTTTTGAAAATGTAGACTCCGTTCAAAAAATATATCTTATATAGTAATATACTAATATTCAGTATATTGAAATCATTACTAATTATATTAACTTCAAAGATTTTTGGCATCTGACCTCTTTTGGCACTTGATGTTATATTAATACAAATCAAATAAGTATAATTGATTCAGATTGTGTCGCTTGACGTCTTCGACTTGCTCACACACGTGAACCGCGTCCAACTCGCTTCTGAGTAATAACAGAGAGCACATAATAACACTACCATATAATTACTGAATTTAATAATGAACATTTATTTCTATGTTATTAGAAAAACGTGTTGCAATTTTGTTCTAACCTAATTTAAAATAAATGTCATCATTTTACAACTCATTGAAGTTTGAATTTTCTATCTGTAATATCAAATCGACATTTCTCATATTTTTATATTTCAAATCGACAATATTTATTTATGTCATTAAATTAGTAACTTTCGAAAAAAATACAGCAACTATTTTGCTCTCATTATTTTTCATTGAAATGGTCGAATTTTGTTCAATATTACAAATACATTATTTTTAATTACTACATTTCAGAAAATAATAACCTAGAAAATTTTTAATTTTCGTTTTTGTCTTAGATTTATTGTAGAAATTAAATGAACATTTGCATATCTAATTTTTTTGTATGAAACATTTCAGATTTCAAAATCAATCGTCATATTTTCTAAACATTTAGCATTATCATTATTTAACCGAATATTATTTAAAAAATGTATTTTTAGTAAAAATTATAACTTATTTATTGCTGTAATTATTTATTTATATACAATTAAATAATACTTCAGTTTTTAGTTTGATTATCTTAATCAATTTAATTTATTAATTATCTTAATTAAAAAATTTCGCGAAAAATATATTTAAAGGTTTTTAATTGTTATCCAGACGGCATAATCAGAATAGTTTGTATTTAGTTTATATTTTATAATACTTTTCATTTTAATAAAAAATTTCTGTCTACATTCTTCGTATTATCATTTTGTACACGACCATAATAACACTTAGTATACTGAACATATATTAAGGTTTCAAACATTTTTTGACGCATCTAGAGTTTTTATAAAAAATGAAATATGAAAATCATGATATTCCAATAGAATATTTTGCGATATCATCTGAAATTATTTAAATACGACTAAATTTGTATGCATGTAAATAATAACTGATCACCATAAGTGTTATTAGCGTATGGTGGTTTAAGAGAACTACTTACTATATTTAAAAAGAAATGTTTAAATATTTGAACAGGTTAAGGTCAAAGACATTTAGTAGGCCATTTTACCAAGAGAATAGTCAAGTTAATATTGTTTATTTTATCGTTCGAGTTGTCTATTCTTATATAAAAAAAATATATCGTGTTTTATTTTGGTTCAATGTTATGAATACTCATTTAGTATTAACTCAGAATTTGTCTATACTTTTTGAAATTTATAACACAAGAAGTTTTTTTTGTTACTTTAGTTAATAATAATATTCAAGTAAATACTAGTTACAAAAGTATTACATCAAAATACATACCGTTAGAAGATACATTGGTTTTCATAATGTTCCTAATTATACAAACAACATTTTTTTTTTAAATGACCAACCATTCTCGTCTAGCTTATATATTTCTAAGTCTACAATAGAAATATATCAACAGCATTATCGTAGAATATCCCTTTTATAACCATTGGACAACTGATGATAGGTTTCCAATGCTACATGTGGATATTAATTGTATTCGTTTGACAATGAAACTATAGTAATTAAATGTCGATAAAAAATAAAAAGATATCGCACTTTCGTGTGTAATTTAATTATTATTAGCACTGGCCTACAATGCCATTGAATGATAAGCAAAGTGACCAGAAGGTGAAAATAAAAGTAAGATGTATTCAACTAGAATAATTATCACTATGAGAGCAGCTATATGTATCACCCACTAACCTGGTTAGATTAATTTCGAAAATTGCGCTTAAATATAAATATTTTATAACGGGTAATTTGCAAATATATTTACATGTTGCGAATACAGATAAAGTACTATGAAATATAAAAGAAGATACTATTGTGAGAATGCTTCTGATGGCTAATCGTACCTGGGAAAACATTGCGAAAAATAATCATTTCCTGCACCTATTGTTCTCATTCTCGAGTTCCGCTACTTAATACTCAACAAAAAATGAATTATTTATTTGACACAAATGTTTTTACGAATGTGAGGTGTCAGATAACGTAATAAGAAAAAAATTATTTGACGTTGCAAAATACACGTTGATTAATAATCGATAATTGTTGTTTAATACTTTATTTCAATGGGAAATTAGAACAATTCTGATTAAAATAATTTGTGAGAATGACTATTGTTGATCTATGGATACATCAGAAAATTTTAGCGAAGAAAAAAATAATAATTCACAAAATTACTGTAAATGTAAAATTAGGCCACTAAAATATATCGGAAGGATGTAACAATAATCTAACAGGTAGCTGTATTGTAAACGATAATGAGATGTTATAGACGAATATCTATACAGTGTTATTCATATTGGAAGTGGTTGAAGGAGATGGTAGCTAATGCTTTAGGTGTAGAGAAAGGTATTGCAATAGATGACCATATCATTTTTGAGAGTCGAGCTATTTAGAAGTTTGTGTTTGATCAGTGTTAATTAAAATGTTGTTTATTAAGGTAAACTAATTAATTAATTTTTTTTTTTTTTTTTACTTACGTGGTTATTTTTTACAGGTGTTATTGTATTGTTTTATATCTTTTAGTGCTGCTAGGCCATCAGATGTAGATAATTTAGAAGAAACTTCAAGAGACTCCAAAGGAGATAAATTTTTCCAGCAGTAAGTAATGTTTGTAGTATAGTAAAACACACTTCTAGAGTAGTATTAGTATTACAAACACCTTTAATGTATATAACTTTAAACCTACACGTTGTAATAATATTCACTGCAATGAACACTATACAAACTGATATAACATTATTAACACACTGATTAATTGACGGTTATTGTTGTTATACTTAATAGTGACTATAACTCTTATATTAGATAGAACTTTTTTATATAACTGAACACTCGTATACAGTGCACACTTTTTAGTCGGTGGTATTTTTTCCTAAGGTTTTAGTGCTTTTTGTGAAAGTTTAGACATGGATCGGTCATTTCGTGTAACATGTAGTAACAAGGTAAGCTTATTATCAAATAGTTTTTTTATTATTGCTTTTATATGCTATTAATTTATTTGTAAAACTTTAACACAATTTATTTTTTGCTTAAGGTAACATAGTACAACTAACACAATTTAAAATACTATAAGAAAATTTTACTTATATAAATAATCAAAGATCTTATTTTATCTAGTCTAGCTACTATTCTTTTTGCAAAGGTATTAGTAATGTAATTTTTTTGAAATATAAATGTTTATAATTTAAGTTAAATTTAAGTTAATTTTGAATGATAATAATCTATTTTCTAACAAGTTGAAACTTGCATGTTCATTTTGCATGGTGGTTATTGTAAAGTTATATAATTATTATAATTGTTTTTTAGTGAAACCACGGGAGAATGGCCAAATACAGATTCTCCGACAACAATTCAAGCACTTGCAAAATTAAAGTCTATAGCACGTCTTCAAATGGCTAATCACAAGGAGGCTGAAAAAAGCCTTACACTTAGTAGGGAAGAAATGGAGGCACTTAGGGATTTATTAAACGACAACCTTCAAAAATATCAAAATTTTCATACTCACTCACAAATCAGAAGACCAAATGATCCTTATATAGGCCAAATACTGAATAATTTAAACAGTTTGAAAAATAGACAAGATTTTGTTCAAAATGATGAACCACATAATATTCCTGTACGTAGAAAGATTATTAAACATACAGTATTCATGACGCCTAATTTGGGTTATGGTTATCAAACAAATCAAGTTACACCCTCGTTTAATCAATATGCGCAAAATAGCCAGACTGGACAAAGTAGCGATCAAAATTCTAGAATTTGGTCTCCTTGGGCTGAGTATTTTCCAATTCTCATTAGAGATCCACTTCAGGGTTTCACAAACTATTTCAGCGAAACTATAGAGTACGGTCCAGATGCTGATATATGTAAAAAGGACTCTTCTACTACTGAAGTAAATAGTGTAAGCAAACGACACCAAAATAATGATGCCATTGAAAATAATAATGAAAACTTGGTTAGAAAACGAGATTATTCAAATCAATTTCCAAACGATCGTAGCCAAGACCACTCGATAAGATTTCCAGAAGACGATTCACGTCAAAGCAGAACGATGGAAAAAACCATCGAGCCTACAGCAAAATCTTTAAAAAGATCTCGTCGAAATGTGGACGAAGAAAAAGGAGTATTGAATAACATAAAACCATTTCGACCACAGACCACTACGACTGTTGCAGCGGATAAACTTCAAAAAACTTGGATTCCCTATAACCCAAATGAACATAATGGTGATACAGGGCCTCAAATCAAACGTTTAGTTGTACGAAAAGGAGGTGTTGCTATAGCTGGGCCTGGAGGAATAGCAACTGCCGGATCTGGAGGTACAGCCATTGTTGGACCTGGTGGATCAGCATATAGTTCTAAACACTCAGCATCCGGGTCTACATCAGAAAATATACCAGCTGGGCCAGGTGGTATATCGATGGCTGGATATGGACCTAACGTAGTTTCACCACAGTTTTATTCATATCCAATGTATCGCAAAAGTTTTGGACGTAAGTTGAAATCCAAAAAACTGAAACATGACAGTGCAACAGCTGTGTTATCTACAGATGGTGTTGCATACACATTTCCGGTGCGTTCCCGTGGACTTACAGTAGAAGATAGTAAAAATTCACACTCGGCGTCAACCGCTAGAGAAATCAAATTGCCAGATGGTGCTAAAATCATAGCAACCGGCCCGATTGTTTACTATAACCCAGAAAACCCTTCCAAAAAAAAATCCAGAAAAGAAAAGATATCAAAAACATTTGATGATTCAATCGAAAAATTATATGGCCATATTATTTCCCCACAATCAGATTAACGAAGTCTGTCTGGATTAATAGTGTTTGTTCCTTGATATAAGACTGTATAGTTATTGCTCATAACATAGTATCACAGATATCTTATCTGTAATAGTATTAATTTTTAACTTAGTTTTGGTATTAGAGTACCAACAGTAATTATCGTTCCATCAAACGCATGTTGAATACATATTCTTTTAAATATTTTCCTGTGTTTATTAAAATAACTATTTAATTAAACTTATTTTTCTTTAATTTTAATTATAAGCATTTAATTAGAGTATAGAAAGTCTCACTAATTTACTTAGCGTTGATAACAAAAAAAATTAGTCTTACTGAAACATCACATATATTAAGTAACTTATGAATTGTGTAAAGTATTTTCATTAAAATATGTTTAAATTAGTTTATTACAGTAAAATATTACAAATAGTTGTTCAATCATTGAATGGTGTCATATGGAATAGTTAATGATTTTAAAAAATAGGCTATTAATTAATGAATATAAAATATATACAGTATTATATATAAGTATACACTATACTATCTTGAAAATTTTTTTCTAATATAGTTTTTTTTATAAAGTCTAGGTCATTATAACTCTTAATTAAATAGTTGATTAACGTTATTTATAGTTACAAAAAGTATTGTAATCCTTAATGTTAAAATTAATTAATATATCCAATTTAATCTTACCGAATTATTAAATATTAATATTTATTATATTTTTACAATCAATTATATTTATTGGTAATCATTGATTAGCCTAGCGTATTTAGCAACTATTATAAATAATTTTAATAAGTGTACTAAAATTATAAATTTAACAGAATATTACATAGAAAACACATTAATATTTTTAGTTATTTTATAAAATGTTTTTTTTCAAATTACTAATATTGTAGTGTCATTTAAATGAAAATATATTACTTTTTTAATAGATAATATCTATATTGCTTAATTCACTTAATAAAATGTTTTTTAAATAAACACCTATGCAATTTAGTTGTATCATTCCTACTGAAAATCTATTTTATCAAAGATCTTATAATAAAAATGAAAAATAAAAATAATAAACTTATTTAGTTTTTTGTGTATTAATAAAGTATAGTGTTGAGTAAGGAAACGTATTTCTATTGTTCTCATTGTTTGTAACAATTTACTAGTTTCCTTACTTTTTGAACACCTTATATATTAAAGAAACTTATAACTTTGACTTTAGAATACAGATTGTTTACGCTACAAATAAAATTAAATTTGACGATAACATTAACAACTTGCACAGTACTTACGTATTAACTAGAAATAATTTAAGTGGTTCATTTTGAAATCACTGATTTCACATTTATGTGTTAAAGAAAGCAAAAATAAATCGATCAAATTATTAAACTACACAAAACGAATTAAATGTTTAAATTACGATAAAACGTGTAATTTATTAATTATGCTTATTGTTTAAATACAATAAATTGTATAAAATATTAATAATAATAAAAAAGTTTAGTTAATCTCTACTAAAAATTAAAATATATTAGATTCAATAGGAATTATTCATGTTCTAATTTTTTTTTACAACTAAAATCTAATTTATAACAAATCTAATGAAGATTTGAATTTTAAGAAATTCAATTTTAATGTACTCAAATGCTAACGAATTAAAAATAAATTACTTAATATATTCTCATTAAACAGTTTTTTTACATTTATGTAATCCAACTCAGTGTTTAAATAGCTAGTGTTATAAATGTGATGTTTAATATTTAATATTTATTAGTTAAAATTTTTTTTTTTTTAATTTAAATAATTTTAGTTTAATTTATTAAGTTTTTATTCTGAATTTTATCAGATCATACAGTAAACTTCACTTAAAGAATTTTATTTTAATTATATAAAATTAACTGTTTGTTTTATTTGAAGTGGAAAAGATTTACGTAAAACAAAAATTAGCTTAAATACATTAAGTGTGAGTTAGTACATGATGGTTTATTAATTTATATTATTACTTTATTTTATCAAAATATTTTGATTGAGGGCCAAACGTCTAAATCGTGCTTTTGTATGTGCAGGTTTTCGCTGCCTTACTGGGCATTCGTTCCAGCTCTAGGCGTTTGGCCCGATGGACCAACAACCTCTATGATTTCAATGTTGCCAGCTGAAATTGCCAAAATCAATGTGAATGGAGCTCAAGAGCCAAAATTCAAGTACCAAAAACATCCAAACACACCAAGTATTAACGGACCTAGCAAGTTAAGAAAGTCTGCGTCAACCCAACGGCCTATAACTAAAATTTATTTAAAACCTTCAGCCAAGGCAAAAGCAGGTAAAGGAGGCGTAGCACTTTCTAACCCCATCAGTACTGCAATAGTAAAAAGAGGTGATACGGTCAGTATCGAATATTTGCCAGTGGCTGATGCAGAAGTAGGAGATGGTGGTGTAGCTATTTCCAGACCAGAATTAGTCATTCATTTTGTAGACTGAATAAATATTAGTCATTTGACTATGCCAATATTACCATAATTATAATATTATATTTTTAAATACCATGCGATGTGTACATAGAATCAGCATAACAATTTTATTAGATTTTAAAATTTCTTACATTACTTTTTTATATATAAATAATTATTAGCAATTTTAAATTGTGCTCAATATTCATTAAATTAAAATAAAATCAAGTTTTGTCAACATGACTAATTTTTAGTTATCATAAATAATTATTTAAATATTATCAGTATGTTTTTAGTAGATTTTTATACCAGAAAAAATGTTATAAATAATTAATACTAGGTAATATTTAAATAATAATATATAACAAATGTAATTATTATTAAAAAACTAGCATTTATAGAAGCAACTTAAATTTATGTCATAATATTTGTATGTATTATATCATATTATTTGAATGTATGATTTTTTAAGAATATTTTTGTTTAACAAAGTAATATCAACAGGCACTTTTAAACTGCATATTCTTTGCTGTTATTTTTATTTAGTATAGACAATATAATTTCAATATATTTTAATTTTATACTTTAAAATTATTTTAAGTTTTATTGACTGTCAGTAAAATAATGAGTCAATATTTTTGTAAATATAAATAAAGAATAAAATTATATATTTATATTTTAAGATTATTTTTTGATTATAATCCTTGAAGTTTAATAGACCAGCAACTCAATTAACTTTATATCTGTACACATTTTCCCTATAATAGATTAAAAACATATATTATTGCTATTTTTACTAAAATTAGTTATATTGCAGGATATTTACATTTATTAAATTTCTAAAATTATTATAATCTATATCGCTTATATTAAGTTTGCGTATCTAATAAATAATTTTTATTATTTAAAAAGACTAAAAAATATACTATAATGAGCATTTCAAATTTTAATTTTCAAAAATTGATAGTTTTTAAAAAAATGTTTACATGGAAGTTTTAAGTAAAATATTAAATTAAATTAAAATATTGGATTAAAAATATTAGATTAAAATACAAAAACAATAATTGTTTTCCAATGAATAATTATTATTCATTAGAAAAGCATGCTGTTAGTTAGCTAGAAAAAATTATGATATAACAAAATGTTTAACTATTTTTTATAGTTTTTTTTTAATGTCATTTATTATGGACAAATCAGAAGAAAACTCACTTTTATACTAATCATAAATTATCTAAATATTAAAAACATATGATATATTCTTAACAAAAAAGTCGCAAGAACATTCATAAAATGGCCACATTAAGGTTTTAATTTATTAATTTATTCCTATATAAATATATTATAAATATTCCTTTGTCATTTTAATCTTTATACTAAAACTTATTTTCTAAGTTAATTTATTTGATTTTTAAAACAGCTAATTTACATGTTATACAATTATAATTGTATAATAGAAATAATTATTTCTGGTTTAACGATCAGTTAAATACAAGTAACTTGTGATAAGCTCTTTATAATAATGTTTTTTTTAAATTAAAATTATTACAATAATCTAATTAATAAGAGGTAACATCACTAGTCAATAAACACTACCAGTATACCAACACCATTGAATTTACAATTAAAATACTGTCTAATCTAAATATAAAAAATTGTTATTAGTAGTTTTTATAACAAATAAAATTCTTAAATTAAGTCTTACTGCATTATCACAATTTTCGATATAATATCATTAACATTATCATAAAATATCACTGGGAAACTCCAGTTTCTAACATAAAAATATATTTAAATTATTTTATTACCTTTTTTTTTGAAATTTTATTTTTTCATATCAGACTAAATCATCTATTAAAATACTGATTATTAATTGCATTAATTTAAAAAAATATTATTTATACTGAAGAGTATGGAAAAAATTGAATGAATAATTATGATAGATTGAGACTGTAAAATGATATCGAGAAAGAGTATGAATATTATGAAGAGCTAAAGAAATAACTAACACAATTCTATTTTCTTTTGTTACTTATTTATAAATATTTTTATGCTATTATTACAAATAATTTTCCAGAGAACCAATATTTGTAAACTTTTTAAGTGCTAAACAAAATATATACTAATAGAGTACTTTAAAAAATGAAAAACTGTTTTTTCACTGGTGAAATTAAAAAAATAGTTTAAAAAATACTATCTTGTAATCTGTTTAACCATTGTTCTTCACTTACAAAAAATAGGTCGCATAATACATTAACGTGTGATTACAAATATTTTATTGACTTTATGCCAAATCCGGTGATCCGAGTAGTGCTTAGTAAAAGAACAGTTATATATTCTGCTTGTAGGTAGACACGCATAGTGAATTTATATTGTTTATACTTTACTGAATTAATTTAATAATAAGATGTTTTATATTAACTTACAAACAAAACAACATTAACACAAAATAATATCCACTCATAAAAGGTGCGCCAAAAACTACTGCATGCAATAAAAAATAAGAATTATTTATATCTATAAAATGAGAACATCAAATGTTTAAAATAGTATACAAATATAAACAGAATATCAGAAAAAATAAAATCTAATTAAATTTAAATGTCTTTTATGAATAAATTAATTTTTAATTGAAATAATAGGTACTAATATCAATAAAAAAAAATACTCAATATCCAGCATATTTAAAATATATCTATTTACTTAAAAATATATTCGAAAAAAAAATAAACATAATACTATAATATAAGCAGAATAAATTATAAAAAAATGTAATCGATACTTCAATATTATTTAAAAATTGAGACATAATTTTTTTTTTTTTTGTAGAAGTCGCCTTGAGCACCGCGAATCTGAAGACGATGGCGATGTTCAGACATTACCATACTATGGTGGCGGTAAAGGCAAGTACCTTATTATTCATCCTTCAGGGAAAACAACCGTAGAAGACCACAGATTTGATGCGGCCCGAGAAGACGATGAAGAAGATGTAGGTCAAGAAAATGGGACTGGATCTGAAGAACCGCCTAACAACGAATCTGTGAGTGTCAGCTTACCAGCCGACGATGTCTCATTAGCTGAAGCCAAACCTATTGGTCTGGCAATTGCAGGTTGCAAAGGTGAAGCTTCCTCTAAGCCCGTAGCTACTGCCGTGGTCGGTCCAGGTGGTCTTGCCGTTGCCAAACCCGTAGCAACTGCTATAGCCTGTATCCCGGGAGCTGAAGCCTTAGTTGGTGTAGTCGGTAATGGAAAACAAAAGCAAAAAATCATTCCTACAACATCTACTGCACTTAAGAAACCCTCAATTATTACAGGAAAAACAAAAAGATCCCTCTTGCAATACGGTGGGCGTGGAACTATTAACTGGCCTACGTATCCATTATACAAAATTCCTGAATCCCACAGTTGGGGATTCATATTGAGACCTGTGTACATACCATTCATTCAAGAATGAAAAATTAGTACCAAAGTAACTTGCCATCAGAATTAATATATTTATTTAATTTCATTAAAAATAACTAATGGAGTCATATGAATCATACTAAACTTATTTTATGTTTAATTAATTATAATCAATAATGTTTTAAGTTATGTGTGTATTATTTATCACTTATATTTTTATTGCAATATCCAGGTAGTTTTAAAGTATTGAAAATTATCCCATTAAATTATTCAAGTTATCGATATTATACAAAGTTATCAGCTAACATTTATTTAGTTTTTTTTTAAATTTATTTTGAATGCTAATATATGATAATATATGCATAAAAAATCTTTCTCGATGCTTATAGAAAAATTTTAACTCAAAAGTAAAATGAACTTAAAAAGAGATTGATAATGGTAACTGATACAGAAAATTTGTTTATATTTTAGTCAATTAAAAATAAACAAAATTAAATATTTAAATTAAAAATTAAATTCAATATTATCTACGCATTAGAGGCATCGTTCTTTGGTATGAAGGTCCAGAGGTTCATTTTCTCAGCACTGTATTGTGCAGATTATCTCGTTTACTGTACAATAAGATCGACTGTTAAGGAAGGACATTAAATTTAAATAAAATTATAATAATTAATTATAGAAATAATATGTAATATAATAACATATTATAAATTTTAACAAAATCATCAAAAATATAATTGTCTATTTTTGAAATATTATCATGAAATAAAAAACGTGAATTAGTTACTTCTCTAAATTATTGGCATAATGTAAGTGTTTTTAAAAATTGTCTATGCAAGATCTAACTGTATCATAATTATTTTCATTATGATGTGTTGTGTTAGATAAAATAAAAACACTACATTCGGTCTTATTATTTTTATACTTGTACAAAATCATTTTCGACTATTTTTATACATTTTATACTTTTTGTTTATTTTATTCTTTTAGAGTAAACTGGGGTAAAAGTCATTACGGGATTAGTTCAATGTTAAGATAATTAATTAAATTCTATAGTAATGAATCAATGATTGAAAAAAAATAAATTTTATACTATTTTTACATGATTTTAGTCATTACAAAATCATAGAGAAAATTTGAATACATTATATAGTTTATAAAAATTTGTCATACTTTTATGTTATAATTCACTCTTAAAGAATACTACTTTATTTTATAAAATAAAATAAATTTTATAAGACTTCAATTTTTTTAATTGAATATGTTTTTTATTGTATATTGAGTAATGGCATAATTTTAACATCGCACACAATTTTTTATATGTCATTTAATGAAAAATATTGATTTTTTGATTATAGCAAAAGATTAATGCAATTAAAAGAATTACTTTTTTTATATAACTGGACTCTTACACCAATAATAGGATATGAGTACACTTTTATTTTCCATTTTATTTCTGTTCAATAGAATTCTAACCTTCCTATTAACACTTAACTTGTAGTTTTTTAGTTTTCCTAGCTTAAAAAATATAAAAATTGTTTGTAGTTACCATATATTGCAAGTTATATGCGATAGAAAAAAAAGTGAGTAGTTTTACACCAAATTACTCTCTATTTTATGTTTATAATTTTTTGATAAGTTAGTTATCATTTTTTATTATATTGTAACTTGCAGATGGAGTAATTTGAAGCTAGTAGTTTTCAATAATTCTTTGACACTCTAAGTTTATTTTAATGTATTCATTTTTAATTCTAAATTATACTTTATTTTTATTGAATGAAGAGTGCCTATAATCTCCATATTATTATAAAGGATAAATTTTATTGATGAGCGCAATATAATTAAAATAGAACTGTAACAAAACAAGTACGTTATATTATTTGTTATTCAGTATAATTCGTATACAAAAAATAATATAGTAATTACCA